TCAACAGAACGAGTCAAAGTTTGGTCAGGATCTCTCAATAAGCGCATCCTCATACTGTCACTTTGTACACCACAGACAATTCTGTCTTTAATTAACCCTTCGGTTAAGTCAGCAAACTCACAGCTTTTAGCTTTGTTTTTCAAATCTGTCACATACTGGTCTATAGTTTCCCCTATTTTCTGTGATCTCGTGAAGAACGCATGTCTTTCTATAGTCAAGTTTTTCTTCGGTTGACAATATTGTTGAAACTTCTGTTTAATTCTGTCAAACTTTTTATCGTCACCTTCATTCGCCAATTCGAAAGAATTGAATACCTGCACGGCTGATTCTCCCGCCACGTGTAGCAAGGTCGCACATTTCACGGCCTCTGACTTCGCAGCGATTCCGTTGGCAGTTAGGTAAAACTCAAACCTTTGAAGCCATCATTTCCAGTTCTCAGCTAGATTGCCTTCAAAACTCAGTTCATTTGGTGCTCGTAACTGCTCCATACAGCCCAGTTTTCCGTGTTCACTTCTGACACCATGTAATATATTAAACAACAAGCATGGCAGGTTCATAGAATAGTTTACTACGTCATCCGGAGTGGTACATGCGTGTTACGTCATCAATTATGTACATGTGTATGACGTCACAGTTAACCCTTTATCTTACAAAGTTAACCCTTTGAAATCTGTTTAGACTAGTCATCTCAACTAATAATAGTAGTAGACTTTTGTATTTGTATATATCTCATTGCAATATACAAGGGTAAAGAAACGGAAAAGCTGGTAAAAACAATACTGGTGTGTATTGTGAAGTCATTTGAACAGGAAAGCATCAAATCAGTGATTAGTAGAGGCTGGGACGGGTAACACAGGTACTTGGGTCGGGGGGGTACTGAGTAGGACCTGTGTACCCACAAGACCACCCGGACCCATTGTTAATCATGTAATGTATTGTTTAATGACAAAAATTATCTAGAACTCCAAGGTTACACGACAAGTCACACATGTTTGCATTTCTTTCTGACTATGCACACATTCTTCTGACTTTATATATGTTTGAATAAAGATAAAGCTCCAGTCATCTTCAGTGTAAGCATGATCAGATTGCTTGATACTTTTATATAAATATATTTTGGCAGGGTAACGGTCAAACTATTTCCAATCAGAAATTTTGTACCTATCTCTTGAGACCTACAGCAGGTACCCTGGTAGAGTAGGATAATAGGGTTTGGGGTACCTGGGTAGAAAATTTGGACTTGTCCCAGCCCTAGTGATTAGATAGGCTCTCTCAGGTTGGTCAAGAAATATATTCTAAAATTTGACAAGTGTGGAATATAATTCCATTTTTGTGTCTTGTTGCTTAGTATGTAGACCAAGTCATGAAAAAAATGAAAGTAGGCAAATGACTTGTTATTTCCTGAATCTTTCTTTTTCATATTTCTTTCATATTTCTTCAAACAGACAAGACTTTTAAGCATTGACTTAAAGAAAACCATGTTCATTAAATTGTATTTTTCATTTGACCACTGATCCTGTTTGGGAAACCATGTAATGACAAGGCATTAGCATTGAAACTTGTCACTAAAAACAGCTAGTGCACCATTTAACATTCCTATTATGTTCTTACTTGCCATGGGCTAATTGGGTAGTGTAGGTGTCGCACTGTTTTCATGGGCCAGTACATTTCTTTTTATGTATGGGAGTGTCCAACCCTGATATTTACTGCTTAAGCCAGCAGCTGCATGTCTGATAAGCTGCAGAGATTGCATCAGAGGATAGACCTGACAATTATACTATGCATGACACAGAGACTCTGCTTTGTGCTGACTCTATCAAGGTTGCATGCTGAGCAATGAGCTTAGTTTACTATTCTCTACCCAGCTAGATCTGTTACTTGGTGCATGTCAAAAAAACATTTCAATAAGGAATCAAACCAAATATTATTTCATTATTTGCCTTCACTTGATATAACTGGGTTTGTAAAAATATAAGTTCAGTCTTGTATGAATTATCATATACAAACATTCTACCATTATTTTTATCTGCAATATAGTATTTTGCTGAATATGTACTCTAATTTTTGGGATAACCTCTTGGAAGGGGGGCACATTGGCCTAGTCGTGTAAGGTGCATGCATCTCTTAGTAGCCAGAATAGTGATAACATATAGCGATCCCCTGAAAAATCCTGAAATTTTACCAGCTCTTAGGAAAAGTATAACATTAGACAAATTACTCGTGCTAGTGGGCTTGTGCCAATTGCATCCCTGATACCAGTGCCAAAGGGTTTCACCAAAGTGATGAACGTCTAAGACCTGCATCACTGCTGGCTTTCCTGTCACATCAAGCTGGCACGCCATCATTTGACTGAAATACTGTTCAAAACAGTGTGAAACCCACCTCACACAGAAACTCACCTTTTATTTTGGCATGGCAACAAAACAATAGTAAATATACAATAGTTATTAGGGGACAAAGGGTACAAAAGTCACTGTCCAAAGAAATTTATGTACAAACACACATATATTTATTGCAATGCATAAATTAATGTCTAAATTCTCCTCAGATGTTCTGTACAACATATTGTGCATCCCCTAGACCGAGACATGTTTCTGCTGTTACAAACATTCTTTCTTCAGTTTATTATGGCAAAAACCCTTATACAATTCCAACAGCTTTGAAGACTGTGGGCAGTTCAAACAGCTTCAAAAGACAGTGGTCAAAGTTGCTAAGCAAAATGCTGCACTTCTTACAATAAATACAGTACAACTTAGTGGTACATTTAACTAGAGCTGGGGCTATAGATAAAATAATCAGTCAGGGATTTGATGTAGAGTCAGAACAATCGTCATTTACTATAATGTCACATTGATATTGAGCAAAATATGGAGGAATTTGAATATGTTGTATGATATATATATTCCTCTGTAACATAATTGCAATAAACATGACATCGCAACAGTTACGATAGACTTGTATTCATATGAAATAGACATTAATATAACTTCTTGTGTCGTCTAAGGCACTGCAATTTGCTGTGCAGAGTTGCGTCCCAGAAACCTATGATTGTGGGTTCGAATCACGGTTCGCCCCAATTATGTTTCTAGGTTTGTCAGCACCATACCCGTGCTTGTGAGTTTCACCGAAGTGGTAAACACCTGAGACCTGCATCACTTCAGGCTTTCCTCCCACTAAAGCTGACACGGTGTGATATAACTGGAATACTGTTAAAAGCGGCGTTAAACCCAACTCACTCACTCACTATTAGCCACAGTAGTTTTATGTTATTCTTCCATGACAAGGGCTGAAATCGTTACATTTAAAATCGATTAACACGCAAGCTCTGATTATCTATATGAATAGTCAAAGTGATAACCAGTACTATCTATGACAGTATTGTGACCCACCAGAAGAAAAGGGACCTAATGGGTGCTAGGATACAATTGTGCTGGGATATCATAAGACATTTGACATTTGAAGAAAGCCATGTGTGATGTTATGTATCTTTGTAATAAGTATGAATTGGAGTTTTGTGTACCGTAGATGCTGTAGTTTTAAAATATAATGAAAAGTCAAAATGGGATTTTTTCTCCCATAAGGTCCTTTATCTCATGGTTGGTCACATTTAATGATAAACTTACATATTTAAATGCAAGTGGAAATTTAATAAAAACAATAAATACATAAAAGTTTTTGAATATTGGTAAACCACATATCCCAATGAAATACTAACAAAAATTACATTTTATTGTGCATATGACATTAAAAATGGAATCATGTATATTGCAACGAATCATAGCAATGTAAATGATTTTCATTTTGCAGCTAAGTTATGCACTGATTTTTCAACTTTAGCTCATATCAACATCCAGTATTTGCAAACTGGATTATTCATCATGTACTTCAATACAAAGTAGTATATATGATCAGATACTGTTTGGTAAGACTACCATACTTTCCCTTATCCTGCTAATCAGATCTTAACAAGAAAATATAAATTTTAGGTAGAGGGAACATACAATAATCTTTCCCACTGTACACAGGACAGGACAGTATTCATCTTCCCGAGGCAAGAGAGTTTAACTGACTTTAAAAGTCCAGTTCCCACCCTTGCCGAACTAGGCTGGAATTCCTGGGCTCGATCATAGCGCCACCAGTGGCTATACGAGTTATGTCCTTTCTATGCCTCTCCTATTGACCAATCAGATTCAACCTCTCGTATCACTTGCATTTGCTTCAAACAAAACGGTGGCGCCCAGTCAAGACGATCTGATTGATAATCAAGATCTATATTGTGATAAAACGAGACTTACATCGCGAAGTGCATCAAATCATGTGAGCACCTTGATTAAAAGCCTGAACAGATTTAGAAAATATCTGTTGACAACGAGTTAGCGTTGCACATGCTTTGCAAATCCTGCAGTCGACCGAAATCTGCATGACACTTTACGAACCGGATTTCGATTTCGGTGCACAATTTTGATTGGACTATGCATAGACTCGTTAGTCCAGCCAAAATGTAACTCCATAATACCAGCCTAGTTCGGCAAGGGTGGAAACTGGACTTTTATAGTCAGTTAACACACTTGCCTCGGGAAGGTGGACAGTATTGTACATTACACTATTTTGAATTTTCCCAAGAAACTGGTGCAATGAGTCATGAAGTATGCATTTTGGAATTTAATTCAAAACCTAACTTCCCTCTTCCACTGAGATAAACATTTAAGTAATGGCAGTGAAAATCTGTTGTTGTTTTTTCACAGTATGGAATGAAAATGCAAAAATATATATTTAGTTAGCAAAATAGATTACTATTTTTTAGTAGGAACATTAAGAAATTATACTTAAATCCAACTTAAATCCATTTACTTCATATTATCAAAACTTTTTGTTGTGTACGATTAAGATAACAGTGTCACCAGCCTAAGGTTAGGGTGACATATTGCATTGTACACAACCACTACAATGGTAAAGCTTCTGTCTCAACACTCCTTTCATCCCAGAGAGGATTGCTATCACTTGAGAGCTTCCAAATTTATCAATGATTTGTCGCCCAGGCTTGTGTCTGTGCCATGCTACTTGACAAAAGACCCTGCACAGGTAATTATGGCTGACCAGATAAGGGAGTAATCCAGCTTTGTTAATTGGCCTGACTTCTTAAGCTGTTCTGCCAACCAAGCTGTTACATTAGGCTGGTAGCTGTGAGTGATTGGCCAGTAGGGTCAAGCCATTCATCTTCACCTATTCAACTGACCACACTGACTGGAACTGAAGTCCGGATGTGGTCTGTGGGATATCACTTTTACCTCACTCTAAACCTCAGTGCTTGAAGTGACTTGGTTGAAGGGCTTTGTGGATACTGGTACAAGATCTTGCTTGGCTGTTGTGGTGTGCTAGTGTTCTTTTATCCTTTGTATGCTGACATGTGATGTGCTGTTCCTGTCATATATAGGTAAGTTGGGAATATGCTTGGTTTAATTGTGGTGCACTGAGCCTAGCAGATATGTTGAGTACATGATCAGAAGCGTGTCATGTTGTAAACACCCTATAGGAGCTGCCATAAGGATTTTGGTGTAAACATGGCTATCATTCTAGATACTCAGACGTGGATAGTGTCAATAATCATTACAACCCCTGTATCAACGAAGTACCAGTTTCACGTTTCTAAGTTTGTACGCAGTCAGGGCTAGATGTCATTGATTTTGCAAGAGACAAACGTCATTAGGACATTTTCATGATTTTTATTTTTTTTATAGATCACGCTATGCCTTACAGTGTTTGAAATTAGGGAGGTCCTTCATGTTTGGTCCTCTGATGTTGAGTCTAGAGACCCCAAAATCTTTAAGGGCTAAGAGAAGGACCCTTGACTTCCATGCTTCATTTCGAACACTGCTTAAAGTACATTTGTGGAGAAAGCTACAAAGGAATTTGTAATATTTCACTGTGGCGAGTTTTCACATTTCTTGCTATGGACCATGCCAAAACTTGTGTGTTGGTGTTTAAAAAGATATTACTACATCTCAGCTCTAGAGAGTTCTCACACAGTGTAAGTCAGTACATTTATGCTTTTTAAAAGGTCATAAGCTTTAAGAACAAATGCCTGCATAATTAATTTGGTTTCTTGAAACAACTTATTTGATAACTAGATGATCAGACTAAAACTAATCCTTGTACAGCGCATAACATCAGGAGAGAAAAAAGAACAAAATGGAGAACTTCTTAATGTGTCCACAATATTCGACATGTGTTTGTATTCTGTCATATCAACAAACTTTCTTGTACATCTCAGAGAAGTTTCGTAATTGAAAACTGTTTTTAAAATTTATTTGTTTATGTTCAAAATTTCATGCAATTCCTCAAGATTAGAAGAATATATGTAAAGAATTGATCAGGGCAACAGTGAATGAAATGTTGAGCATGTTATCTTGACAGCCAGGTGAATTACAAGGTGATATTTTTCTTTGGACAATTAATCTGATCAAAATATAATATAAAAAAATTTCAGAAACAGCCCACATATTTTGTCAGTGAGTCATGTCACATTTGACCTAATTCTGAATTTATCACCATGTCTATGTAATTAATACCTTTCACAAGGAACAAGAGCACCATAAAATGACATTTAACATCCTCTGTCCCCTTCCTCACCCCATAGAGGTACCCCAGTGTCCTGGTACAACACCATTTCCCTCCCCCAGCCCCCTATCCCACTGCCCCTGGCAATGGTTTTTTTTATTGTGTTGTGCACCAAAGTTCTTACCCAGCTGTTGGGCATGTATGGGTCAGTGTTTGGCTAGTGGAGCATGACCTATGACTGATTGATGTACAAGACTAAGGATTTGACCAGCACATGAACATTGCATTGGTCCTGCAGCAATCAGTCATCCTGGATGCAGGTTATGTAATTATATAGGCTGGCTAATCAGTTGCTGTTTGTCACTTGACATTCTCTTTTCATTTTGGTGCGATGAAGCATGAGGAAAATATCTAACGTATGTGTCAACATGGTCTGGTGAGTATCTTGTTGGTATATGGTATTTGTGCTAATGAAGGCATGATGTATGTGTTCAGGGGTTTATCTGGACCCGCTCAGAGCCCAACATATGGCCCCATCTGTAGCAAAAGCCAGTTAATATTCCCAAATCGGAATTACAAATCTCCCAATTTATGTAATAACTAATCACTAATTTTATGGTTTTGTAACTTGTATTTCCGTATAACAGGACCAAAAAACAAATGAACTTACAAATGCAAGCTTAAAATGTCAAAATAACTCTGGATTTAAATAAATAAGATCTTTAAAGAAATTCCCAGTTTTGAACAAAATAATATTTCTTGGTCGTTTTGTCTGCCTTGGGCACTTAGATTAGAATCCTGGATAAATCCCTGGTGTTTATCATGACACCCTTTCATGACTTAATCTCAGGCCCTGCTGATGTAGATACAGGGCCATGCAACCAATGTCAGCGTAATCCACAAATTTGAATCCAGACTGTCCCCAACTCCTGTTACAGTTGTAACCACTGATGTTACAGCTATTTAGAATTGACTTGCAATTACTGATAGCAGTACCACTAAAGGGGATGCAAGAGGTTTTATTGAGTTCTACACTATTGCTTTGAATGCAGTGTTAAACAACTCCTATTTTAAGAAAAATGAAAATCACAATGTTGAAACAATTATTTTTTTCACGGTTAGTCTGAAATCTGAATGCTTGGGATTGGTTTGTAAAACCAAATAAATCCCTGCCCTTTACATACAAGTGAGTTAGGTTCAATGCAGCTTGGAAAAGCATGCCAGTTTTATCACAAAGTTTAAAAGAAGGTGGTTTGGTGAAAACAGAAACATGTTGTATATTTCACAATGCACATTGTGATTTGATATTTACATTTTTGTATGTTTTATAACCACTGTTGTGTTTATTTTGTTCCTATGTATGTGTCAGATTAGCTTACTGTTGCATGAAATAGGAGGGTATGTATAAATGAATAGCCATAAATTATTCTTTCAGAAATCTTCACAGTTCTCTGCTTGGAACAAGCACATTAATTATTGTATACGGCAAAACAGTTTGTAAAAAGATACCAATAATGTAGGCATATTACTAATTAAACGTAATCAAAATTAGGAAAAGAATCTACTGATTTAGTGAACATTGGGAAATGTAGCTACATAGCTGGAATATTGCTGAGTGCGGCGTTAAACAGCAAACAAACCATGAATAGATCTTTGTAGATCCTGCTTAATACACTTAAAGACAGGGCATTAGAAAATATTAAACAGTTTTGAGATTATTTTCCTTTAAAAAACCTTTGAAAGGTTACAAGCAATAAAAAATCCTTAAATTTATTTTTCTCATGAAGTGTCTTATCTTATAGTGTTGTAAATTGTGCATAATTAAGGGTAAACTTTCAGTAAATAAATATAAGGATGTGTCATAAAAGACAGAGATATTGTGATTACAAGACAATTGTTTGAGTTACATTTATTTATTTAAATGTTAAATATGGATTTTCATTAATTTCTTCAGGTACCAAAACATCATGTTTATAAGGCCCTGAAAACAAAAGAAAAAACTGAACTGAACATGCATTAAATTCTACCCATTTACAAAGAGATACTACACATATTGAAAGGGTCTGTGTTCTCTACATTATCTGACAAGCAAACAACAAAATGTCCATTTCACAAGGTGCAAGATGCGAAATCTACAACTAGTTGGGAGCAATAAACATCAGCGTGACGGATAGAATGTTGTGATAACATCACAGAGTGACAGAGGAGAGATGAAATGTAATTAATGGATCAGACAATGATCTGAGTCTAACTGAGGGGGACATGCCAGACCCCCAAGGCTGCCAGTGAAGGGTGTCAGGGGCTCTGTGCTAATCCCCCTCTGAAGGCGTATTATGTTACCTCTGACCGCTGGCCTGTAACAGAGTAATGGTAAATATTTAAAGTGATAAAGTTTGCTAGAAATTACAGATGTGACTTCAAGGGATTATGTTAGAATTCAAAGAATAACAAGGGACAGTAAGCCCCTTGTAATGTATCTGTGCAGAATCTTTTCGGATAAGTTTCTTAATTGTGTACGTAAATAAGGTATCAAAATATTTGCCTGCATATTTCTAGAATCAGTTCTTTGATATATTTGTGATAATGATTTCAATATGATCGGTGAAATTGGTCTTTATTTACAAATTAGTGTCGTCAAGTCACAAAAACGCCACAACTATGCTCTCTCATAATGTGCCAATTTCTGAAACATGGATTGATTAACTTATTTAAAATCTTTATTTACTTTTTATTTACTGATGTTAGATTATTAATAGCTGAGTGTTATGAATTCTGTTTCAATGTTGTTTTTACACAGAAATTTAAATTCTAACTATTTAAAAAAAAATCTAATTATGGGTTTACAGATTGACCTACTCATAACCTCATAGAATAAAATTTTTTAAGATTTTTTTATTTTCAAGTCAACAAATTTCATTTATCAAAAAAGAAGGTTGACATGAAAGAGCATTAATTCCTTGATTTGTCATTCAAAGAAAAGGTAAATCTCCTAACTTTTAGCTCCCCTGAAACATGTGCAACTGTTTAATAATAAAAAAATATTTTTGGAAATATTTTTCTTCCATCGCTGACAATTGGTTAAAAAATTCTATCTGTAACCCAAATATATTATGAATCTAAGTTACATTAAAAGACATTGCTATGACAGGCATAAAATGGAGACAGCAGTTCTCTGGTGATATAATAAGTATTAGAATTTATATGGTGTAACCCAATTTACTACAAAGTAATGTCATTGTTGTAGATCTGATTAGAAGAAATAGCCATTATTAGAATATTAGAATAATTAATTCCAGTTTCCTGTATATAGAACATTGTAAACAAGATTATTTCACAGGCCAATGCAAGTTTGCATATTTAATGATAACTGCACAGAGGTTGTAAAACTGCCATAACTACAAGCTGTTTCCTGTCAGTCGGTGTATTAAACCTTTATGAGTGCCCTCATCTCAGACCCATCCCAGTTCAGTGGTAAGGCCTTGCAATATTTAATCATTTATTTGACAGCCAAAATGCGGAGCACCTTCCCAATTTTAATGTAATGAATGTATAATGTATTGTGAAATATTTTTTTATATTTCTCTTTGCAAATGTTAGGTACTCATCAACATTATTGATTTTTCTAAATTGCATTAATGGTCTGCAGGTCTGAAATACCTTTGCTGACTTTGGAGTCATGATGATTATATCATCATAATGAATAATGTGTATAGTACATTGTGAATTTCATGAAACTCATGGAATTATATTTCTTATGATTTTCTATAGGGTTTGTGTTTATATATGCACATTGTTTAGAATAATTACATATCTTATTTGAAAAGTTTCATATGATATAAATAAACATAATTTACCTGAAAAAGTGCAAGATATTTTTGAATTTTTTGATAGGTATTTCTTAAAAGTTGACGGATAACAATGTAGACACAAATGTTTTATGGATAACAACTTCTTTATTATACTGTAACCTCAATGTTTCAGTATAGATCCTTATTCTGTTATAGTGGTATAAGAATCTATGCCGAAATGTTGCAGTTACACTATAATATAGAAGTCGTTATCCACAAGACATTTTTGTTTGCTTTTTCATAATATTTTTATCATTCACAAAGAATAAAATTTTAGAGCCCACAGCTAAGTTAATCTGTCAAGTGAGAATTGATATGGTAACTACACACACAATACTCCCCATTGAGAGGAGCTTGTTTCTTGTTCTTCTTACCCTTTCAACTCGGGTGTAGGACTAATAGCCTGACACAAAGTATTATCCCCCCACCACGAGAAGACCTCAGTGCTCCAGCATGGCAGTGCTATAGCCTCTAGAGTGTGTTGAGGTGATAGGGGTGTAGGCATTGGACCGACCCATTTCCCATGTGCCAACAATGGCATGTCCCGATGTACATTGCATGCTTGGGTTGACAGTTGACACTAGGGGCAGGTCAGTTGCAGAGAGCAGCTCTTTGACAGCATAATAGGCTTGATCTGATGAATGATCTGGCAGTGTGTGGATTTAATGTGGGATGGGTGTGCTGCTATAGAATGTAGGCTTTTGTTGCTTTTCATATTTGTAACATATTTGATACATTGAGCTTGTGTTGATAGGGAAGTTGTTCTGTTTGCTTTGCATGGTCAATGTGATGTTTTTTTATATATTTTCCAGGGTACCACCATTAATGTGTTTATATTCAGACTTCTTGTTAGGATGAATGTTTGTGTTTCAAACTGAACCTTTTGTTTCAAGGGTCGGTGTTGCAATTGCTTAGTGTTAGTGTAAGATTAGTTTTCATTACAGTTGTCATTTTCAGAAATGTATTGTTTAAGAAAAAGCTCTGACAAAAATGTTATATTTTCAAATTTTGAAAAAATCAATGTAGGGATTATCTAGCCACCAAACTGCTGAAACTGTAGGCATAAATTCCAAATTGGAATTAGCATTGTTTCCTAGTTTATGTCCTAATTAAACTAATGTAGCTTTGTAATTGGAAAGGTCAATTATATTTTCTGAAAGCCTTGATACTTTGTTTTACACCACTGCATTGATTCAGTGTCATGTTACAATACCTAAAACTTGTGTATGTCAAGAAATTCAGAACATTCTTGACTGATAAATTTCTATTTTCACAATTAACATGAAAGGTTTATGGTTATTATTTTGAAAGTTAAACAAAATATCAATTACATTTTAATTAGATTGTCTGGCCCAGATTTTTTACAGACCGCTGTCATATAGCTGGAATATTGCTGAGTGTGGCATTAAACAACAAACAAACAAAGCTTTACAAGCCCAGGTAACGATAAAATGACCTTGTAATGTTAAAACAATGGGGAAATTGGGACATTCGTACTAGCCAGCTGGAATTGTTCTCGGGCTAGTGGCTAGTGTTATGTTCTAACCCTGTCAAGTGCGGCATTAAACAAGGCTGGAAAGTAAATCTAACCAACACTCCCCATAGGGGTCCTTGTGGTTGATTGTTATGTTCAGATCAGTATCAGATGCATAATAACTAGCTTCTCCTTCCAGATAATCTAACGTGACCCAGCAGCGAAGTGCCTGGTCAACCATCATCCATCCCATGCCTCGCATCTCCCCGGATTGGACCACACCCACTACAGGCAGCCATGATGGACATAGAGTGGTGGAGGAACCTGATCGCGGCCGACATCTATGCCACGTTGAAGCAGAAGGAGCAGGAGTTGCCAGTGTTCCACAGTCAGGGCTTCCAGCTGTCAGCTCGCACGTACCTGGTGGACTGGTTGTCACTGGTGGTAGAGCAGCTCCAGCTCTCCAGCCTCACCCTTCATCTAGCCATCTTCCTCCTCGACTTCTATATGGACTCAGTCGATACCGACAGATACAAGCTCTATCTTCTCGCCATGACATGTTTGCGTGTGGCTTGTAAGTGTTTAAATTGTAGCTTGACGCTTACCATGACAAAGCCATGTGGTCTGTTCACTGTGCAGAGTTGCATTCCTTTGTTTGTCACAGGATCTGCTAATCATGGTTTTGCATCCCAAATTTACCTTGAGTAGGTGACCCTATGGTCTAAGAAACTGTAGTTTGCAGAGTTGCATCCCTGTTTTGAGTCAGAATCTGATTAAGGTTTGAAATCCCAGAACCAACTTGACCATGATTCTTGGTCTGTCAGCAGCTTCCCTATGCCTTTTGGTTCCACCAGTGACAGACGTCATTGCTCTCTGTAATCTTAGTGATTGTCCTACTTAAAGCTGAAACACAATGGTTTAACGAAAATACCATTAGAAAGCATATTACTAACTTGAACTTGTTGTTAGAGGCGACTAACAGGATCCCAATTGCGTGGATTGATGCTGATGATTATTTACAGACTGCCATCATACAGGTGATATATTGCTGGGTGCAGCTTTAAACAAGAAACAAAACCAACTTGAAAGTGTTCTGATTTGCCCAGCTGTTCAAAGAGACACATTAAATTAACAATATCAAAAGTGTGTATTATTTAAACACAAACATCCTTGATATCTAGTTGTATCATATAAATAGCAGGTACACTGTAAATGCTTCATTCAAATGTTTTAAGTGATAAGATACTATTTAAGAAGTTGACAGCCAAATAATACAATCCAGTTTTCCTCCCCTGACTCATGCCCCTGAACATATGGCAAGAGTTACTGGGAATAGCCCTTGGCGTGAATTGTAATCCATTCTTGCATATCATGTGGTGTGTGGGTGATCATGTTGAATACTTACTGCTTCAATACAGGGTTCGACATTTACACATGTCTGCTAGTCTGAAACAAGTAAAATTCAGGAAGGAATGGTGACATTACCTATTTTCCATTAGGTAGATGGCCACTCTCTTCAGACCATTTTTGCAGACTAGTGAACATAAATAAATTTTTCAAACCCTGCAACTTGGATGCTGCACTCACTCACTCACTGCTTTTTCTATCTGTTATCATTCCTGCAGTGCCTATTTCAAAGCAATTTTATTTTATTTTTCAGGTAAATTTGAAGAACACATTGACAAACTACCTCGTCCCTCTGTGCTAAATTCCCTTCTCCCAAAGACTGTCGGTATCAGCCTTGGCTATGACGGATACCTGCTGCCTGACTTTCTGGACATGGAACTCAGTGTGTTGAGGTTCCACAACTGGCGAATCAGTGCTCCAACCACCGCCCATTTCCTCCCGTACTTCCTGACAATAGCTGCTGACGAGGGTGACCTACATAACGGGGTGCCCATTGTCTCCAAGACTGTAGTGCTGCCATACCTGGAGAAACATGCTAAATACTTCTCCGAGATCTCTTTACAAGGTATACAGATAGAAAATGGGTATTCAATTTCAGTGGTCATAGTAATAACACTAATGTGGAAAATTATTATAGGGGTCCCGTATCTATGGCTCCAGGAGGGCCTCACTTAATTTCCAACCCTGTAGAACATTTACTTTCAACAGCATTCAAGATTTTAGCAATAAGTCCCTCTATTCAGGTTTTGTCTTTCTGCTCCTAAAATAGAATTTGACATAAAGTGTTATACACCTCAAAACTCTAGCAAGTTTATGCCTGTCTGAATTGAAGGCTTACGTCCCATTAAATTATGGTGCATGATCTCCATAGGATATTTAACATTTTTGACACTGATAGAATTATAGAATCATGTCTTATTGATACTTAGCCAACAGACATTGACTTAATATGGCTTTGTAACTTGCATCATTTTGACATGCCCCCAAATTCTAGTAATACAATATTTTACACCTTTCACGGTTTTATTCAGCTATTGCAGCCATATTGAAAATGTCAGTTTTGTCAACTGGGAAAGTTGATGTCCGTTACGCAGGTGCCTGTTTTCCTGCCTTAACAACTTTTCTTTCCTCCTGATTATAGTATCAGTTTGTTAATGATGTATCATTGCATTATTTTATATACAGTGATTATATATCGACAGATTTTGTTCTAAAAGAAGTTGTTGGGTTTTTCCTGCTAAGATCTGCCTTAATTAATCATTTCTTTTGGCAATGAGTTAGTAAAGATGCAAAGTCAAAGGGGGGTAATATTCCTGACACCTAAGTTATCTCCCCTTGACCATATTGCATAAAATATTCCTTAACAGACTTGCAACACTTATCTAAATGAGTTTGTTAATACACGTTAGGACTCTTGGTCCCCAGCACTCCAGTGCATGTTGAAAGAGGCAGCTATGGTGGATTTGGTGGTCACTGAATTAGTTGAAAGTGTGACATCATGCCCTGATGATGTGGAATGTTGCTCATCATCACAACCACTAGTTTGGCTATACAGAGATTATTAGCCGGGTTTGTTTCCATATCATAAATATCATATGTAAGGAATAACATTATGCAAGCTGTTGGCCAGCAAAATATTGATTGTTATACATAATAATCACTTCATCATATAATATCAATTAAAAAATAATCAATGTTTAAGACATAAATTCATTCACAGAGGCAACTTTACATGAATACAGTGCTGGAGTGAACCGCCCCTATTATTATGTACTGCGAAATGATTTGAAGCCATGTTTGTGTACAGAAATGTCCACACATCAAGAAAAATCCTAAACGTATTGGGACCTTTAGGCAACAATTTATTGAGCAAGTAGACATTGCATAGATGCATGGACCTTATTAAAAGTAGTTCCTGTTAGCTATGCGTACCTCATTTGCATTGTGTTGGATTGAGCTACCATGTATATCGGAATGGTTTATCGCATAGATAACAGTAATTCATTTTATAAGTGTTGTTTTCTGTGGTGTTTCAGATCACACATTCCGTGACTATCCTCCATCCCTGACCGCGGCTGCATGTATAGCAGCGTCGCGGATATGTCTCCATCTGACGCCAACCTGGCCCAAACACATGATGCTGCTGACAGACTACTACCTAGAGGAGCTCCTGCCCTGCATGCAGCTGATGCTGAGGTACATGGCTTGCTTGATTACATCTTGATTGATTGCACCATAGGGCTAACTATGTAGGTGGGAACAAATATATATCTGACATTTCAGATTTTGTGTGTTCTTCAAAAAGTTGCCATATGAGCAGTGTTAGTTGAGCAGTGTTAGATGGTTGAGCTTTGTTTGTTGAGCTGGTCTCATCTGTCCTAGTAGGGCATGAGTGGACCAGTCGCCTAATTTGCTGTGAGTTGCATCCCTTGGGCACTCCTGAAACCTGTGACTGTGGGTTCAAATCCGGATTATGTTTCTAGGTTTTTCAGCACCATACGCTTGCTCGAGGGTTTCACCGAAGTGGTAATAAAGAACTGCATCACTTTGGGCTTTCCTTCCACATGAAGCTGACTCTCCGTGATATAACTGGAATACTGTTGAAAGCGGCTTGAACCCAACTCACTCATGCATTCACTCATCTTTCTTGCAGATTTACTATTGTATGCACAATTCTGGAAATTTCTGATACTTTATTTTATATGATTTGTCAGAAAATACAGTTTTACAAAAAGATTGGTTCTTTTGGAGGGACATTGTGGGTGTGCTGAAAGAATGTTTTGTGAAAATGATTGTCTTCAAAACAAATTCACCATCTCCAGAAAATACAAAAGCAGCATCTTCTCCTTGTACGCCCCTAAGTTTCCTTTATTTCTTATTATGATACCTATCTGTTCAGATATCATCAGCGGGATGAAGCTAACCAGGCTATGACAGCAACGGCGGTGGTGACGCCAGTTGTGGAGTATGTTGCACCGACCATCTCCACGACGTACTACAACCCCCACGTCATCCATCCTCATCCTCATCCCCACCCTCACTGGGTTGCCTACAACCACCATCTTCATCATGTTACCACAGCTCATATTCATCCCCTTGGACAGCTGGCTCTCTCATAGGTAAACTATTGCAGTACACTTGGCTTGTATCAGCACTGTATTTGACATGTTCAGCACCAAGCTGTAAACATCTTCCCGAGGCAAGGCTGGAATTCCTGGGCTCGACCGTAGCGCCACCAGTGGTTATTACGAGTTATGTTCCTTCTAAGCCTCAACTATTGACCAATCAGATTCCACCTCTCGTATCACTTGCATTTGTTTCAAACAAAATGGTGGCAAAACGATCTGATTGATAATCAAGATCTATATTGTGATAAAACGGGTCTTACATAGCGAAGTGCATCAAATCATGTGAGCACCTTGATTATAAACATGAAAAGACTTGGAAAATATCTGTTGACAACGAGTTAGCGTTGCACATGCTTTGCAAATCCTGCAATCGACAGAAATCTGCGAGACATTTTACAGACCAAATTTCGATTTCGGTGCGCGATTTTGATTGGACTATGCATAGACTCGTTAGCCCAGCCAAAATGTAACTCCATAATACCAGCCTAGTTTGGCAAGGGTGGAAACTGGACTTTTATAGTCAGTTAACTCACTTGCCTCGGGAAGATGAGCTGTAAATGAAACAAAACTCACTTTCTGTCCAAGTACTCACTCCACAGTGGCAGGTTTATTATAGACTGCCTTGTACACTTTGTTTTAACAAAGTTTGAAAATTAGAATGATTGGACAAAAGTTCTCTGTAACAGGATTGTTAGACCGTGAGTTATGTGTAACAGAACTGTTGGACTGTGAGTTACAATGTATGTGTAACAGAATTATTGGACAAAAGTTATGTGTAACAGAATTATTGGACTGAGTTATTTGTTACAGAATTATCAGACTGAGTTATTTGTAAATGAATTATTGGACAAAAGTGATGCGTAACAGATATATTGGACAAAAGTGATGTGTAACAGAATTATTGGACAAAAGTGATGCGTAACAGATATATTGGACAAAAGTGATGTGTAACAGAATTATTGGACAAAAGTGATGCGTAACAGATATATTGGACAAAAGTGATGTGTAACAGATATATTGGACAAAAGTGATGTGTAACATAATTATTGGACAAAAGTGATGTGTAACATAATTATTGGACAAAATTGATGTGTAACAATTATTGGACTGAGTTAATTGTAACAGAATTATTGGACAAAAGTGATGTGTAACAGAATTATTGGACAAAAGTGATGTGTAACAGAATTATTGGACGAAAGTGATGTGTAACAGAATAATTGGACAAGGGTGATGTGTAACAGAATTATTGGACAAAAGTGATGTGTAACAGAATTATTGGACAAAAGTGATGTGTAACAGAATTATTGGACGAAAGTGATGTGTAGCAGAATTATTGGACAAAAGTTTGGGAAATATCCTTATGGTTGTAATGTCATTCATGAATCAAATGTATTCTGTTTTACACAATTATGAATTGTACCTATTTCATTGCAGAGTCAAGACATACCATGGAATGAGATCTGAAGCCAAATCTCCACGGGTGTGAATCTATGGGTTAAAGTGCAATGTATATTTATGTTTGTTAATAAGTTGGCCCAAACAGACAAGTCACCTGGTTGTTCTTATTTCAGAGTATTTCATTATTTCACCTCATGATATTTGACAAATTTCCTCAAGGGACCTATCATTTTAGGGGTGTGTGTGTGTGGGGGGGGGGACCAAGTAGACCAGTGAGGGAGGGGTGACCATTGAGGTGGTTCAGTAATAATTACACAATATAATTGAAGAACCTGCATCGCCCACAAACCCTCTATTATTGGAAGGTCCGCATTGCTTTCAGCATTTTCTGTTTAGGAATTCATAATTCAAAACTTGTTTAGTGACTTGCAATATTTGCACTGATTTTTGTGTTGCTTAATTTCCTGTCATTAGCTTCATCTAGTCAACTGCTGCTGATTTTAGTTCACTGTAATAAGAGCCCCTGGTTCTAACAAAATGGACAAAGGGGAGTGCTTATTAAAACCACACACAACAATTTGTTTTCAGAGACCGAACAGTAGTGACCAGACACCAATCAAACTGAAACTTATGATAATGGTCGCTTGGCAATTATATACCCCTTCTGTTGCTGCTCTTTTCTTTAAAAACAAATCTGTATTATACACAAGAAAATATGGACTGTCATGTATGTAAATTTTCAGTCTAATACAGGGGTGCTTATGAAGAATACTTAAAGATTAGTCTTGAAGTTTGTCAGAGCAGACACAGGAATTGGGTTCTTGATACGACAAATACAGTATTTGGGATATACTCTGATTTTAACCCAAGCATATGACCTGGTTGTATAATCAGTCTCTATTTATAGTGCAAATGAGGTGCTACAGTCAGTGACATGCTACCAGAAATGTTTAGAAGGGACAATGACTGAGCTGTGACATTCCAGCCCTGATGCCTCGTCAATACTTTACAGGCTTGTAGAAAGTACTTTAATCATTACATGTTTTCAGATCTGAGAAATTTCATTTGGAATTGAATTGTCTTTGAATGCTATGAAGTCATGATACAGTGGATGGCATCACATGCTTCTAAAGTAACTGAACCTGCCTGGTTAGCAGAACAACCTTAAATGCCTCCTGGTTAGCAGAATGTGTACCTTAAATCGAAGTTGTTCTGACATGCATACAAACATAGCAGTGATATCTAATTAAAAAGGCCTCCATTTAGCCAAGCAGAATGGCACATTTTTAAAATTTGGGAGTGAGATAAGGAAGAGTTTTCAAGAAAGGTATTCATGCGAACTGCAAAGTCAGAATAATATCCAATTCCATTTACCGGTAACAATGTTTTTCAACCAGATTTCGTCACATTGAAGATACCCTCCATGATATGCTGTTCACAATAAGGTATACACCACAATACCCGCTTCATGATGTTATACATATCTAAATACCAATGAAATAGGCTGAATGTTTTTTATTTGGAAAGGAAAACAAATGCTGATCACTAATGTCTTAAAATGATGTAGGAATCTGTTGAAGCGCTCTGGAAAGCAATGTTAGCATTTTGACCATTGTACACCTATATTAAAAGTCAGTGTAGTGCTAAGATGAGTTTCTGGAATAGGGAGGGCAGTGTTTGTTCAACACAATTCAAGAAAAAGTTATTGAATTTCATATTAAAAAAAATAATTATGTTTTAGCCAACAAATGTGCAAATAAATCTACCATTTTCAGAGTTATGACAGTTCCGATTTGAATACTCAAAGTAATGAATGTCACCCAGATACAGCTGCTATATACTTGCTTTTAAACACCATCTTGTTATACGTTTTGAACACACTAGTGTTATGCATAGTGCGAGTTCCCTTCTAGGTTTTCCATTGTAAGCGACGCTTTTTGTGTTGGTATACAATCAATTCCTACATTCTATAGTTTGGTGTGTAATGTATTGCTGAATTCATTACCATAATGCGCTCTTGCAGCTGGCTGCATCCTACGTATTGTTTCCAGTTAAAAGATATCGGATTTAGGTTTGGTATCGCCAGCTGTTCTCTTTGTTTCATGTTTCACCTCCTCTGAATGTGGTGAAATGTGTATTCAGAGAGCTCTAGGTGTGATATCTTGACATGAGTCACCTCAGCTGTTGGTCTCTGATTGCATTTGACAACTACTGTTAATTGTAAGGGAGATATTCAACCAGGGTTCAAACTAAGAATTATCTGTTCTAGTCATGAAAAATGCTTCATAATGACAGTGTATAATTTTCTGAAAGATGTAGGTGAAATTGCTTGACTAAAAGATGTTCTGAACACATAAGGGGAGATAGTTATGTCAGCATCATCCATGATGCTCCCTTCTGATGAAGAAGAATGTCCTGATTAAGAACACTGTAATAAGGACCCAAGGCGTGTCTGCTCAGTGTTGTGGAGTAGTGAAAAATACACACCCCTGATTAATGAGGATGATCTCAAACCAGTGCTGGCATCATTGATACTCAAAATGACCTTACGGTTTTAACCTCACCTTTGTAAATACTGCACCTTTCAATGTATATAATTGTTAGATACGACATGTTTGTTGCGTCAAGGAAAGGTTGTGAAAAACGTGATATTTCAAGGAATGTTTGTCCATTGATACACTGCTACACATAAATTGTGCATTACTATTTTTTTATTAAAAATTTATATTTTTCCATGCTGTCATGAAAATGTATATTTGCCTAGGGTAAGAACTGCTTGATTAGTTCCTTTGCAGGAGATGTTTATGGAATGATTTTAGGGCCATTAACTTATTTTTTTCTTGATAATAATCTTGAAATTTCAAGATAATGAGCTCCCTCTGAATACATTTACATAGTGTACATGCTTGTTCGTTAATTACACTGGTGCTGACAAGTTGTAAACATGTTGCAGTGAGTCTTGAAATCTAGCATCTTGAAATTTCAACTTCGTCTCTTGGAATTTCAAGAAAAAAATGTATAAGCAAATGGCCCTATAGGGCTCAGTGTAGATAACAAAGTGGACTGTGCTTGCAGCACTCTGCGTTTACTTTGAATAATTGAAAGTTGAAGTTTTCATCTAACTAAATAAAGAACATTTTTTGTTTCTTGCCAGCCACATTTGGTGTATGTATATTTTAAGTGTGCAATTACATTGCTGAGAAGAAGCCAAGAAGTGATGTTCATATACCAGTTATACTGATAGCAAGAAATAAGGGAACATGTACAAAGACATGAAGTATGGTAGTAAACAATCTGGAACAAAACAGCTTGTTTGGCAAATCTTATTTGTTGATAGAAAGCTTGTTTACTGTATATGTAGAAAACTTCATCGGATATTGTTCGGTGTTCCTTTACTTTTTGCTATCAGTATATGTATATCTGCTACTGCTGTGTCAGGGATGGAAATTAACTCAAATACCAAACAAGCCCACAGGGCTAGTGGAATTATTTTCTGCTAGCCCTGCAAATGGTTTCTAGTCCTTACAAATAAATCATGGCGGTTTGACAGGGGATAATTTACAGTGTTTAAAAAACTTACAGGCCTTAGGGGCTAGTAGAATTCTAATTTTATTAACCCGAGGTAATTTCTACTACCCTTGGGCCTACGGGCGAGCATTAATTTCTATCCCTGAAATGTGCTTGATATACCTGTAGTTTCTGTTCACATGTTTTGTATTAACACTGATTTCTAATTTCATTGGCAATGATACCCAACAGTAGTCCAGCCAAGAGCAGTAACACTCAAAAGAAAATGAGTGTTTTGTCAATTTTTTCATTTAATCAGTGACTGCTTGGATCCCAAAAAGGGAATAGATTATGAAACTTAAGAATTATATTTTAGTGATTTTAATTCAATTTGAATTTTTGAAAGTCAAAAGACAAAGTTTCATGACTTTCTATGATTATTTTCTCGAAGGAATAGTAGTCCAGATTGATAAGGTTTGACTCTACAACACGACTTTATTGATACTCCAAACCTTGAGAGTATCAATTTCTTAAGACAATCTTATCTAAAACTAACCATTTCTGTTAATAGTTTAAGATAACTATTGTATTAAGAAATGGTTCTCTCTGGGAGTTCTCTCAAGAAGCAGTTAGACTTTGAAAGATTGATTATGCTTTATTGCACATCTTTTCGTCCCATATTTCCATGAATTCATAATAATCTCATTTACATTGATTTGATTGGCTGTTATTAATGTTGGTTGTGTCACAAGGGCTACATTGTATTTAATTTCGGTGCTTTCTGTGTTACCAGCATTAATTATGACACTATGTACACATTTAGTTTTCCTTTTTGAGTAAACCAAGCTAATCTGAAAGAAATTTGGACCTAGAGGAGAGTTGTACAAAAATGTGTTGAATGTGGTGTACTCTTAAAAGGTAGAGCTATAACATTTACTGTATTTCGCCATTGAGTCCCAGAGTGTAGTTACAAGGCAAGGCCTTTTTTGGTAATTAGCTTTACAGATTCTGTCTGACGTCAAAACCTGAAAACTGTTAAAAGCTAAAGCTAAATAGCACAAATCTTGTTTTATTCCACAGACTTACACGTTCACCTCTGGCTCAAAATAGGTATAACAACCAGACAATCTTACTTATGCTTTTTATATTGAAACATATTCAGATGACAGAACAAAAAAGGGTTAACCTGAATTTTTATTTTATTTTCTCCCCAACATACTGATTAGGATTGTTCACCAAATAATCTGTAAACCAATGAACGAAGCCTTGACATGTACCATAGGCAGAGAGCACTGTCAAATTAACCTTCTACACTATGTGACATGACTATGTATGTGTCGTATATGTTATGTTCTTTGTTAATAACACTTTTATGATGTAATGTTTGTTCCGTTTCCAGTGTCTTGTTAAATGTGTTTTTATTTTGATATAATTTGAAGTTTCAACAATTTAGTAGTTATCATTTGTAATTCTACAACAATGTAAATATTCACCATGTATATACTGTACATATGTAAGCTATTACCACTTGAAGCAATTAAACTATTGTTGACTGATCTGTGGTTGTGTGCTCTTAGTGTACCTGACCTTGACAGCAGCGGTGCTTGCAGAGCTGTGTAGCCCAGTGGATAAAGATTCTGTCAGCACCAGGAAGGATCGGTTTAGATAGTCCACATCAGCCTCTGGTTTCCTTGCCTGGCCCTGCCTGGCCATGCCTATCTACAAGTGATCATGGAACCTGACATGAGTATGGTCCACATGGGTATTATGTGGGAAATCTTTTTCTGGCGGCTCTTGCTGAGATGTTGCTGAATACTGCAAAATGTGGGGCACTCACTCACTCACTCACTGGCAGAATGTGAACTCATACTAGGCATATGTGAATGTATGAAATCTCCATTATTCATCCATAATTCATATAGTGTGTGTACATGTATCATGAATATGCAGGTCATGGTTGGTATTTATTACCTGCCAACACTTACATGCTATATTTGAGGTGTTAAGATCATTATTTGCTGTGTACTGGCAGTTTGCTACAGTGCCTCCGGCTTGAAAGGATAGACTATCATAAGGGTTGAGTTTTTAGGCTCTGTGTTTCCTTGTACTCGTGGGACTTTCAATTACTGAATTGCCTGGTCTAGAGTTGTTGTCCCGTCAAGGAATGACGTGTTGTAGAAAACTTCTTGTCCCGTCAAGGAATGATGTGTTGCAGAAAACTTGTTGTCCCGTCAAGGAATGATGTGTTGTAGAAAACTTGTCACGCCAAGGAATGATGTGTTGTAGAAAACTTGTTGTCACGCCAAGGAATGATGTGTTGTAGAAAATTTGTTGTCACGCCAAGGAATGATGTTTTGTAGAAAACTTGTCCCGTCAAGGAATGATGTGTTGTGGAAAACTTGTTGTTCGTCAAGGAACAATCTCATTCAAATCGGACCTAAGTTCTTGCTTCCGCTAAACAAAGATCTGAGGACAACCCATTACGGGTCGCGTCAGAACGACCTTTCGCGAACTTTGACCGACCACTGAAACAACTAACAAGAAGTCGACATCAGCCAATTAGAAAGCAGCTTTCTCGAGCTTTACGGCACTCGTTTCAACCTGGCGACTTCATTTCAGACTGCGCTTGAAAAATATTTTGACGCAGTTCTCGATTAAAATTTTGACAACTGAACAAACGAACATTCCAGAATGTTTAATATATGGTTGCGATTGTATGTCAATGCTTCCCACGTACTGTGCAACGCCTCCTCCGTTCAAATGTTTATCCCACGGAAGCGAGAGATAGACGATAATTTTGACGGAATCAGTCGTACGGGCCGTAACTGTCGTTCGGAATACCCTGTGTTAACGTTTTCGAGGTTGCATGTTTAGAAAACACATTCCGACTGTCACTTTCATGATCTGGTAAGCGACGTTCTGATTGGTCGGATGAAAGGTCGTTCTGACGTGACCCGTAATGGGATGTCCCCAGATCTTTGTTTAGCGATAGCGACAACTATGATCTGATTTTAATGAGATTGTTCAAGGAATGATGTGTTGTAGAAATAGAGAATGTCACCCGAGTGTCTTTTGATGTCAATTATATCAACGAGTGTTGACATATTTGATATCAAAAGACACGAGGATGGGATTTATTTATCATCCAACATCATCCTTCCAATCTGTAGACAGTAATGAGCAGTGTCTTCAGTGTAAAGGTTGGGTTTAAGGATAAAGGCCTATGATTATGTAATAGAGCACCGACCAGGTGTTCAACATCCAAACACGGACACTTTAATGAAACAACTTCTAACTTTTTATTTCTTTATGATTAAAACTTATGGAAATATACATGTAAGCACATTGTAAAAATATATCCAAAATATGTAGCTGTATGACAGTGCCATGTTGATAGATCACACACGAGGAACACCGCGTCGAAAACTGTCGTATACATGCATACACGCAAAACGTTTTCAGTTGAGAAACGCCCCTGTCAGTCATTAATTGGAACTGAAACAACGCCACATAGTGGTCTATATATCAATAATAAAAACACATGATCGTGCCACAGGGCCGACTTGTCTGCAGACAGCTCGCAGTCGGCTCAGATAGTCCTAAATTTGCAGAGTGTAACGCAGAGGTGAAGTAAGATGTATTTATTTACCTGGCTATGGTCAGTTTCAGATTTCCGTCATCAATATCTGTTATAAACACTAGCCAGGCAAATATATTAACTTTTGCTACTACATAATAATGTTGTACGATAAAAATGTATACTTACAAAATAAGAGAGATGCGCAGTAGAAAGGATTTTTTCTAACTGACTAGAGTCTTCTTTTTAAGCAATCTCATTAAACCATATGTTTTACTCCACATAATAACATACCGCAGTCACCTAGTAAAAGATCTCATTTCAATTACATTGCTTTTTAAATAGGGCATTATTAAATATTTATTTGAGTGACGTGATATTTAAAATCAACCTAACAATTCATATGCTCACGCTGAGAAAAAAGGTCAACTTGACAAGGCCAAGTGGTCAGATTGACAGTCCATAGGATGACCTTGCATCTAGCCACCTTTACTTGGCAATGAGTCAAATTGCCAGGCTTCTAGTGAAACGTACTAGTGTTTATACGTAAAACATACTAATCTAATTAGTGACACCGACCCAGTTACTGGTCAAATATACTAATCTAATTAGTCCAACTGGTGTTCAGTCAAACATGTTCAGTAACAACTGGTACAAAATACAAATCAAACATTCATAACAACAACATGTACAGTAAAACGTGAATATAACGAACTACAAGGGACCGCAGAAATCAGTTCGTGATATACATTGTTCGTTATTTACGTTTTCGCTCGGAAACGACCGCCATCTTGACTAAAACAAACACAAGACACATAATTGCAGTATTGCCCGCCATGTTAGCGTGTGTGCTAGTGAACTGACACTTTGACATTATCTCATGAAATTTATGTTTGTCTTACAGACAAGATTAGTCCAGTGACAGGTAACATAAACATAATGCAAGTTCAACAAGTTTAAATCGTCACAGCTGATTGTTCTAATTCGCCGCTGATTGCATACAGCCAATTGTCAGTGACACTTGACACTGAGAGAGATTTCTCAGTTCGCTATACATGTCACTAATTAGCGGTATTAGGGCTTGTCGGGGATCAGATATCTGGTCGCTATAGAGAGTTGGTTATATACGCACATTTTGTATGATAATACTTACCGACTCCCTAAGTGGACTGCAAGCCCTCCAAAACAAAAATACCAAAAACCGACCTTAATTAATAAATCAAATACTTAAAAGCTCCAACGACCTAACTAAGGCAGGCAAACAAATAACCTTCTTGTTGATACCCGCCCACGTAGGAATATACGGTAATGAAAACGCCGATAAAGCAGCTAAACTATCCCTCAAAATCCCAGAAATAAGCTAAAACTTACCCATCTCAAAATCAGAAATTAAAAGTGTAAACAAGCAAAAAATCACCAAAAAATGGCATAACCTATGTCTAAACTCAAATAGCCAAATCAAAAAAGTGCTCAGCAAACTACTAACCAAACCAAAAATTCTCCATCCATCCAAAAAAATCGACAGAGTAATCACTAAACTCCAAACAGGACACACCAACCTAAATAACCACCCAAATTTTTAAAAAAAACACACTACAGGTAACTGCCAAAACTGCAAACAACCTGAAACCCCAGAACACGCACTCATCCACTGCACACACTACCTAACACACCCTCAATCTAAACAAGGCTCTAACTCTAGAAGCAATACTAAACCCACAAAATAAACTAGAAAACTTCAAGGCCTTAGGCGTATTCTTAATAAAAACGGAACTAATAAAACGCATCTAAAAACACAATAACCTACCAAATCAAAATCACATAAACACAAAAACATCCACCATACCCAGCTCCCTTAGTTCTCCTCCCCAATCCCATCGGCATCTATTCCAAATCTCAAAATTCCCAAATTCTATATAAGCAACCCCTAAACCCCCCTCTTGGGTTGCACAGACCACTTTCGCCCCTTTCGGAAACACATTAAATGTCCTGACCGGGCCGTGTGCGAAGTACGCATCAGTCGGAAAGCGCACGTTAAATCTCCAAAGTAAGTAAGTAAGTACGATAATCTAGAGGAGATAAATCGGGGACTTTGTAACAGTTCCTTGTATCCATTTGTTCGCTCTATCCGTGTTCCATTGTATATCGTATGTAAGTTTAACTTGTATTGAATACATACATAGTTTAGATGTTTGTTTGTTGTTTTACGCCGCACTCACAAATATTCCAGCTATATGACGGCGGTCTGTCAATAATCGAGTCTGGACCAGACAATCAAGCATCCCACTGGACAGTTCAAAGAAACTGCCATACAAAAACACCATTAGAACATTAGCCTCATCATCCATGGTCAGAACATACTGATTTACCCATAAACCCTCTGTTACTGTCTTTTCAATCCTTCTTGGTGTACATTGCTTAGCTACCGGGCTCCTTGAATAGAACCACTGGACAACAAGGGCTATGCAGTCTTCTGCATCTGAAGATAATGCATATTATACATGTAACTTGTGAGTATTAGAACATACTTACCAGCACACGGGTGCAGTAAGGAACACCTATCAGCAGTTGGTACACAGCAACATAAAACACATTACTTATAAATATTTACTGCCTATTACATAAAGTAAGTCAGATTTCTGTGGCCATGACAAAGAAAGACCATTTTGTTCAACAAACGGTCTTCTTCTTAGTCTCAACCATATTTGCTCCATTATTAATATATTTTGCAGGTATTTTACGGTTTCCATACATTCACACTACACACAGTTTCTTTATGTGATAATATATGCATGCAATCAGTATCTCCTGCAAAGGTCCTGGCATCTTTCCTGACGCTGGTTGGTAGATGTATGTATCTGTGTGTGGATGAGTGTGTTACTTCGCATCTTCCCGAGGCAAGAGAGTTAACTGACTTTAAAAGTCCAGGTTCCACCTTTGCCGAACTAGGCTGGTATTATGGAGTTACATTTTGGCTGGACTAACGAGTCTATGCATAGTCCAATCAAAACCGCGCAACGAAATCGAAATCCGGTTCGTAAACTTTCGTGCAGATTTCGGTCGATTGCAAGATCATTTGCAAAGCATGTGCACCGCCAACTCGTTGCAAACAGATATTTTCCAAATCTTGTCATGCTTTTAAACAAAGTGCTCGCGTGATTTGATGCACTTCGCGATGCAAGACCCGTGTTATCACAATATAGATCTTGATTAACGTTCAGATCGTCCTGACTCGGGGCCGCGGTTTTGTTCGAAGCAAATGCAAGTGATACGAGAGGTGGAATCTGATTGGTCCGTAGGCGAGGCTTAGAAGGGACATAACACGTAATAACCACTGGTGGCGCTGAGATCGAGCCCAGGAATTCCAGTCTGGTTCGGCAAGGGTGGAAACTGGACTTTTAAAGTCAGGTAACTCTCTTGCCTCGGGAAGATGGTTTAACGACCATCTTGGCATTAATCCAGCTGTATGACAGCGCCTGTCCACGAGTCTGTCCCCGTGTGCTAGAATTCTGTTGAGTGCGGCGTTAATCAGCATTCACTCACTGTACAAGGTTCATGTACAATCTCCACACCAACAGACAACTCTAACACAACCAAGAAACGGACTATAACCACTCAACCGTTAAATCCTGTTCAACCCAAGCTGAAAGCAGTGTCGGTGAATGAAATTATTTTTCTTGATTTCAGCCGAGAGCTGGCCTAAGCACAGACACGCACCCGTGAGACAAACGTGAGTATACGTAACACTATTGCATGACCCACATCGGTTGGTTATCAGTGAACTGAGGCTGTGCACGTACAAGTTACTCTCAAGATCAATCCTAACTAGGAAGAATAACAAGAAGCTAATTGGAGTCTTTATAGTTTTACTGGCAATGACTGGTAGATGGTCAACCGTGTCGACGCCGTGTACAAAAGTAGTCGATTATCTCGATTTAAATCTTGACCCGTACTGGTAAAGGTGACGGTCAGTGTGGAAGGAGAGAGATGTGTGGAGACGTAGCTATCTGCCATCTCGCGTCAGCGGCCAGTATACCGCTACTGGCTCGACAGCTGTTACTTATAATAAGCATTAAATGTACGTAGGGCTGAAATATACAATCACTTATTGTGGTTCGGTGAGACGCAGTGTTTTCATAGACTGTTTATTTATTTGCCTTGAGCGTCAGTTCCTATAATGACCATGAAGGTCGAACTCAGTCTGGTCAAGTGATACCTTACTTGTGAGATGTATTACAAGCTAACTTTCCGGCGAAGTCAGCGCGTGACAGATGCACAAACTATGCACACCCGCCTAACAAAATATCCAGGGCAGGTTTAACAATCCCATGCATTCAGTCCTCCGTCTGTGTAGTACAGAGCCTCCTGTTTATGCATGAACGCTCTCGAAAACTCTGCAGTAGAATATTTTCAGTCAGCTCAGTAACGACGTATCGTCAAGTAAGCGTCAATGTTTCTTCAATACCGAGGCGCAGCTTGAAGCTGATCTGCACTAACGTGACTTTTTGCAGCTGGTTAGGATTGGTCCTTTAATTGTCGTAAGAGGCGACTAACGGGATCGGGTGGTCAGGCTCGCTGACTTGGTTGATGCATGTCATCGTATCCCAATTGCGTGGATCGAGGCTCATGATGTCAATGACAGGATTATCTGGTCCAAACTTGATTATTTACGGACCGCCGTCATATAGCTGGAATATTGGTGAGTGCGGCGTTAATCAACAAACAAACAAAACTTCATTCACGAAATGGGGCACGGGTGGCTCAGTTATCTAAGGTGCCGCAAATTCGCTGTGCAGAGTTGCTTCCCCTGGCCACGACAGAAACCTATGATTGTGGGTTCGAATCTCGATTCCCCCTGATTATGTTTCTAGGTTTGTAAGAGCATGTCCGTGTTCGTGGATTGTAATCGTCTGATGCCTGCATCACAGTGATTTTATTTCCTTCCACATCAAGCTGACACCCGTAATATAACTGGAATACTGTTCAAAGCGGCGTTAAACCCAACTCACTCACTCTTTCACGTAATTCTTATTTAGCAATTATAAAACAAGACAGATAGCGTAAGAAAAGCATTTGTAGTTGTCAGGAGTGAACATTAAAATCAGATCTTTGTACCCACCGCCGCTAAAAAATGCGCACAGTGATTTTCTTGAGATCGCTTTTGTCATTTTTGGTTCACATTCCCCAGTTCGCACGAAATGTTTCCTTCATCTCAAATATTGAGAGTTATGACAGTTCCGATTTGAATACTAAAACTAATGCATGTCACCCTGATACAGCTGCTACATACTTGCTGTTAAACACCATCTTTGAACACACTATTGTTATGCATAGTGCGAGTTCGCTGCCAGGTTTTCAATTGTTACCGATGCTTTTTGTGTTGGTATACAATCGATTCCTACATTCTATTTTGACGTGAATTCAAGGACTTTAGCTTTTTTAAATGGTCGATAAAAAATCAGAAAAGTTTATATTTTGATTATCAGTGTCTGTTGGCTTCAATATTCCCAGGGATCAAGAATGGTATTTAAAGTGGTTTAAACATGTAACAAACCGAGATACCACTTCATTTGGTAAATATAAGAGATAAATATATTTAATTGGAATTTGATATAAATAATCAAATTAATATCAACTGTTTTTCATTACTGGTTCTGTGCACTGAAATACCGTGTAAATAAACGAAGATATGTAATAGTATTATTTGGATCATCAATGAAGAGTTTGGTTGTTTGTTGTTTAACGCCGCATTCACAAATATTCCAGCTATATGACGGCGGTCTGTAAATAATCGTCTAGACCAAACAATCCAGTGATCAACAGCATTAGCATCGATCTACGCAACTGGGATACGATGACATGCATCAAACCAAGTCAGCGAGGCTGACCAACCGATCGCCTTAGTCGTCTCTTACGACAAGCATAGCCGCCATTTACGTCAACCATGCTGAATACCTAATCTAACCCGGATCTTCACGGGTAAGCAATGAAGAGACAAGTCGTTTTCAAGCGAACTGGTAAAAAACACAAATGTCTAATGAACAGCTTATCAGATCATAGCACTATAACCAACACCTGTATCTTGATATGCTCAGTACACAGGGAGTCTTTAATCAAGGATTCTATATATAAAACATACAGATTCTCTGCTTAAACTGTGCCTTCGTATGATAAAAGAAAAGCATTGATCGTTACAAAAAGGCTGGAAGATCTAAATTAACACGTGACCAAAATACGTACCAATGGAATTATATTACACGCTTGAAAACGACTTATCTCTTCATTGCCAAAAATAAATTCGGTGGAATGATTCTGAATATACATTCGTGCTGTTTAAAATGTCAATGCTAGATGTAGCAGACGTAGTCGGTCTGGTAACAGATGTTAAAGAGGTAAAAACAAATCACCCTGTAAAATTGTGTTGGGGTCCGAAACTATTATTGATTAGTCCTTTTCAACAGAAAACAATGTCCGCCTTGAAGCGGTGACTGAATGCAAAGAGATGCATGTGGCGTAGCTTCACGGATAATATGTATAAATCACCTCGTTGCCTGACTGAAAGAACAGAACAGAACAGCATTGAAAAAGCAAATTGTTTCATTCATTTCCAATCTCCATACAATTAGATCTTAGAGCCCTCTACCGCTACAGACAAATATGAGGACATCCGATATCATGTAACGCCACAACCTTTCATACGACCAGAGCGACCCTTACGAGATAGCGATAGTGAAGTCCAAATAACATCAACCTCGAAAAGGTCAACACAGGACATTCCGAAAGACAGTTACGGGCTGTATGGCTGATTCCGAATTCTGGACATTGACATGATTGACATTTGAGAATCATTTGCAACGGAAGATACTTTCCTTGGCCGGGGGAAGTCGTGCAATACGACCTGGGCCATGTATAAGATATTCCATGATGTTCTTTTGTTCAGTTTACAAAAGTTTAATCCAGAACCTTGTCAGAATGAGTTTCAAAAAGTACCCTGGAATGGAAGTCGCCATTTTGAAAGTAGTGCCGTAAAGCTCGAGAAAGTTGCTTTCTGATTGGCTAATATGGACTTCCTCATTTCACTGCTCGGTCAAGGATCGCGAAAGGTCGTTCTGACTTAACCTGTAAAAGGATGTTCACAGAAGGATGTTCTCTGATGTTTGTGTGTAACGGCAGCGAGCACTAAGATCTGATTTTAATGAGACTGATTCATTTCAAATCAATCTGACGTTTCCATTTTCTTTCACCCAACTTTATCATTGAAAACCGATTTGGGACGGAAACAAGCGAGAAACGGAATCTCTGCATGATTGTACATCTTTATGGGTAAGACCCTTCACGGTTATCCAATCAATAACATGCTTATGACATTAACAAGGTATCACGAAACAAGTGGGGTAAAATGATAGTGTGTTTGTACGCTTATCATTAGATAAGGCCGATTGAATGGCACGTGGACATTTTTCACTCGGTCAATGTATAGCTAGCCAAGATAATAAGCGCAAACATCATACAGATATTATGTACGCCTGTACTTACAGTGGTGATGAGTAGAGGGTCAATTTTATATTATATTTATAATGAATTATCAACTTAAATACAATGCAGTATTGTAATCTGGATTCCCCCGTTCGGAAATATTTCAATATTTTACTCACATTGATCGCTGGACAAGAAAACGAATCATATAAAAAAGATTATTCATACTCGTTCCATATCATGTTCTCGTCGAGAAGACGAGGCGATATGACAGTGTATCATCAATCACACAGCCCTGTGGCGTGCTTTTGCCAATATGGAGGACCGCATCGTATATTTGCAAAAGAAGTTCAAGTAGGCTATATAATGTAAGTTCCAAGCGTTCCCGCATCGCTACAAAGGGTCGTTTGCGGTGAGTTAGGACTTTAAGAGCAGAGGAACATGCATTTACATATATATATTCCTAAGCACGCCAACGGTCACGTGTTTACCCTTACTTCGTGAATGTGGTGACTTCAAGACTTCGGTATAATTTGTAGCCGGCAAAAGTTCATGACAATTTCACAGGCCACACACAGGTCGGTTATGAGTGAGTATGGTTTTACGCCGCAAATGGGTTCCACACATTGTACCCATGTGGGGAATCGAACCCGGGTCTTCGGCGTGACGAGCGAACGCTTTAACCACTAAGCTACCCCACCGCCCTTGAAGTGATGCTACCAAGTGATGCAGGTCTTAGAGATTTACCTCTTCGGTGAAACCTATGAGCCTGGGCATGGTGCTCACAAACCTAGGAAAATAATATGATAACCAGGGGCAACCGGTATTAGAACGCACGATCCCGGATTTCTGACACGCCCACATCCTCTGTATCTCCAGGGCTCGCATCCTGGTAAACCTATACCTACCCCTGGATCCATTCCCGTGGTTTTCGCCATGTTAAATTAGCCGCCCTTAATTTCCATCAACATTTTACCGACCAATCATACGTCGAGATAAAGAAAAGGAATTTTGGTAAGGGAGGCTGACATGAAGACATCAGGCACTTTTTCAACGCTGAATTTCTCGCAATGTTGTTGATATCGCCAACCCAACATTGAGGCTGGTTAGTAACTCGCATTCTGATTGGTCCGTTTGGTTTAGTCGCGTGGCAAATCAAATTGGCTATTGAAAATCAAGGGCGGGTAATTTGAGATCGCGGGAACCACGGACTGGATCCAAGGGTAAGTGTAGGTTTACCGAGGATGACACGCCCAAGGGACGCAACCCTGCATAGCGAATTGCGGCGCAACCCGTGGCTCCGACGATTATGTATTATTGTGACGTAAAACTATTGAGCTGTAATACTTATATTCAGTAGATCACCATGACAACTGACTGGAAGCCATCAGCTGATGATCTGGAGTCCATCACAGCTGCCAAAGAAGCCTTTAAACATGGCAACACTAATGATGATGTCATCAAGTTTTACTCTGAGTGGGTCAAAGAGGGAAAGTATCAGAAGGTTTGTCAAAGGTCACACTTCATTTCTTATTTACCTTGTGGGGTGCCGTTCCACAAAGCGATGTTAGAGCTACGAATGTCATCACTGTGCATTAAAGTATGGGAGTTGATAAGATCGTCTTAGCGCTAAAATCACTTCGTGGAACGGCACCTCGGAAACTAAATAAGAAATGATTAAAAAATCGAAAAATAGTCTTTGTATCAACTGACTCCCATCGATCGCATGGCCTTAATTTTCTGCGCAACATGATTGCATGTATAGAGTTAGCTTTTTAGGCATCCTTCCTTGTCTTTTATAAATGCGTGGGAGAATGTTCAAATGTTTGAATTGATACCGATAAACGTGATTTGAAACTCCTGATCGGCTTTTAAAATATTGATATATCGATAAGGCACATGCATGTTTTCATATAACAGTTGATGAGATCTCGATTGATTGTATTTTAGTCAAACTCGGTGAATTTGCTAATAACGTATATGTGTCACACGTAGGGCGTTGCTATTGTTTAGGCTGGTTTGTCTGATCTAGATTCGATTATTTACAGTCCGCCGTGACACAGCTGGAATGTGACTTACTACGGCGTTAACCAACATTCACTCACTGTGTGGTTGCAGGACACGGAGCCCGAGCGGTACCGAGCCCACATTCTCGCCTGTGAAAACATCGAGAACTACTACCCGGGAAACAAAGATAAGGTCAAGGTCATCGATATCGGAGCAGGGACGGGTCGTGTGGCGGTGGAGGTCAGTGTTTCCGTGTCACTGTTGGTCACATGTTTGATATGGGCGGATAGTTACACAATAGGGCTAATGCCTGAATATGTAACACCATTGCAAACCTGTTTGTTATCCTCAGTTGTAATGCTCAATGGCTATTCGTCACCACTCGCTCCATTCCGTAACCTGCAAGAGGACTCGTCCCCCCGTCGATGAATTTTATGTGCGAAAATACGACAAACCAATCAGAATGCGCGTATGACTTCATATTTCGGTCAAAGAATCCCTCAGGAATATCTTTTGTTTTTACATATGTATTGCATCTAAACAAAATACCCAAGATACAGTTAAATGTGTTCAATCATACGGTATAAGTCTCGATGTGTTTAAATAGAATCTGGAATATATATGATATTAGAGGGAAATATACGTTAGTCATTACGCAACGAGTTAACAATACTTTTAACTATGCCCGTTTGCGCTTACACGGAACCCGGTTGCAAATATGGCCATGAGATGGGTCGCTATTCGGCTTGCCCCGGAATAACACGAGTTAGTCACGAATGGCGCAATGGCCGCATGTGCATATCGAGAGTGGAAAGGGGAGGCCCCGTTTCACAACTTAAGATGTATTGCTACGTCTGGCACAACTGTTATGAGTCTTTTGGAACTTGCCTGCCAGGGGGCGATAGTAGGAGCATCAACTACGGAGAGTGAGTGTGAGTGAGTATGGTTTTACGCCGTTTCTAGCAATATTCCAGCAATATCACGGCGGGGGACACCAGAAATGGGCTTCACACATTGTACCCATGTCGGGAATCGAACCCGGGTTTTTGGCGTGACGAGGGAACGCTTTAGCCACTAGGCTCCCCGACCGCCCCTTAACTGCGGAGACATATGATACACAAGCATGACAGAGAATGGGATGGTGAGCAGGGAAAGCGGGTGGGTGGGTAGGTGGGAATGAGAAAGCTCGGGTAGGAAGGAAGGAGGGAGAGCAGGAAAGTGGGGAGGAGAGAAAGCGGGTGTGTGGGAAGGAGAGAAAGCGGGGGTGTGGGAATGAGAAAGCTCGGGTAGGTAGGAAGGAGGAAGAGTGGGAAGGAGTTAAAGCGGATGGGTGGGAAGGAGAGAATGCGGGTGGGTGGGAAAGCAGGAAGGTGGGAAGGAGTTAAAGCGGATGGGTGGGAAGGAGAGAATGCGGGTGGGTGGGAAAGAGGGAAAGCAGGAAGGTGGGAAGGAGAGAAAGCGAGTGGGTGGGATGGATGGAAAGCAGGGAGGTGGGAAGGAGAGAAAGCGGGTGGGTGGGATGGATGGAAAGCAGGAAGGTGGGAAGGAGAGAACCAAGCGGGTGGATGGGAAGAAGAGAGTGCGGGTGGGTGGGAAGGAGGGAAAGCAGGAAGTGGGGAGGAGAGAAAGTGGGTGGTGGGATGGATGGAAAGCAGGAAGGTGGGAAGGAGAGAAAGCGGGTGGTTTGGAAGGAGGGAAAGCAGGAAGGTGGGAAGGAGAGAAAGCAGGTGGCTGGGAAGGAGGAAGTGCTGGTGGGTGGGAAGGAGAGAAAGCGGGTGGGTGGTAAGGAGAGAGTGCGGGTGGGTGGGAAGGAGGGAAAGCAGGAAGGTGGGAAGGATTAAAAGCGGGTGGGTGGGAATGAGAAAGCTCGGGTAGGTAGGAAGGAGGGAGAACAGGAAGGTGGGGATGAGGGAAAGCGGGTGGGAAGGAGATTGGGTGGGTAGGTGAGTAGGTGAGAAGGTGATTGTGCGGATGGGTGGGTAGGTGAGAAGGTGAGAAGGTGATTGTGCGGGTGGGTGGGTAGGTGAGAAGGTGAGAAGGTGATTGTGCGGGTGGGTGGGTAGGTGAGAAGGTGATTGTGCGGGTGGGTGGGTAGGTGAGTAGGTGAGAAGGTGATTGTGCGGGTGGGTGGGTAGGTGAGAAGGTGATTGTGCGGGTGGGTGGGTAGGTGAGTAGGTGAGAAGGTGATTGTGCGGGTGGGTGGGTAGGTGAGTAGGTGAGAAGGTGATTGTGCGGGTGGGTGGGTAGGTGAGTAGGTGAGAAGGTGATTGTGCGGGTGGGTGGGTAGGTGAGTAGGTGAGAAGGTGATTGTGCGGGTGGGTGGGTAGGTGAGAAGGTGATTGTGCGGGTGGGTGGGTAGATGAGTAGGTGAGAAGGTGATTGTGCGGGTGGGTGGGTAGGTGAGAAGGTGATTGTGCGGGTGGGTGGGTAGGTGAGTAGGTGAGAAGGTGATTGTGCGGGTGGGTGGGTAGGTGAGTAGGTGAGAAGGTGATTGTGCGGGTGGGTGGGTAGGTGAGAAGGTGAGAAGGTGATTGTGCGGGTGGGTGGGTAGGTGAGTAGGTGAGAAGGTGATTGTGCGGGTAGGTGAGTAGGTGAGAAGGTGATTGTGCGGGTGGGTGGGTAGGTGAGAAGGTGATTGTGCGGGTAGGTGAGTAGGTGAGAAGGTGATTGTGCGGGTGGGTGGGTAGGTGATTGTGCGGGTGGGTGGGAAGGAGGGAAAGCGGGTGGGTGGGAAGGTGATTGTGCGGGTGGGTGGGAAGGAGGGAAAGCGGGTGGGTGGGAAGGTGATTGTGCGGGTGGGTGGGTAGGTGAGTAGGTGAGAAGGTGATTGTGCGGGTAGGTGGGAAGGAGGGAAAGCGGGTGGGTGGGAAGGTGATTGTGCGGGTGGGTGGGTAGGTGATTGTGCGGGTGGGTGGGAAGGAGGGAAAGCGGGTGGGTGGGAAGGTGATTGTGCGGGTGGGTGGGAAGGTGATTGTGCGGGTGGGTGGGAAAGCGGGTGGGTGGGAAGGTGATTGTGCGGGTGGGTGAGTAGGTGAGAAGGTGATTGTGCGGGTAGGTGGGAAGGAGGGAAAGCGGGTGGGTGGGAAGGTGATTGTGCGGGTGGGTGGGAAGGAGGGAAAGCGGGTGGGTGGGAAGGTGATTGTGCGGGTGGGTGGGTAGGTGAGAAGGTGATTGTGCGGGTAGGTGAGAAGGTGATTGTGCGGGTGGGTGGGAAGATGATTGTGCGGGTGGGTGGGAAGGAGGGAAAGCGGGTGGGTGGGAAGGTGATTGTGCGGGTGGGTGGGTAGGTGAGTAGGTGAGAAGGTGATTGTGCGGGTAGGTGGGAAGGAGGGGAGGAGATTGTGCGGGTGGGTGGGAAGGAGGGAAGGAGATTGTGCTTTTGATGGAGTGAAAACAGATGTGTCGTAAGAGAGAAATCGGGTAGGTAGGTCAATGTGGCTGTGTTGCACGCCGAATGGGTTGCCAAGTCGTCTAACACGCCCTTTTGCTATATCCACTGGTCGTGGGATCGAATCTAAATTTCACCCCGAATAGCATCACCCATGGGTGTTACCAAATCGGTAAAAGACTGCCACAATGAAGATGTCACATGGTGATACAACTGAAATCTTTAAAAATCCGCTTTAAATCCAACTCATTCACACATTCCGTGTTTCAGCTTATGAAGAAAGGCTTCAAGCTGATGGACGCTCTAGAACCCACGACAGAGATGTTGGACGAGGCAAAGAAGATGAACCTGTATAACAGCTATATCAACCTTGGTATAGGAGCTGACAGACTCCCCATAGACGACAGTAGGTGTAGCTGGAATCAACACCGGCAAATTGATATTATTGTGTATAATTCTTAACACCAGATGAATACTCACAAAGCCACACGCAAAGAAATCCAGTTTGGTTTTACGCCGTTTTTAGTAAGTTTTCATTCATGCCACTGCTGGGGACACCAGAAATGGACTTCACACTTTGTACATTGTGGAGAATCGAACCCGGACCTGCAGCGTGACGAGCAAACGCCTTGACCATGTTAACCATTAAGCTACTCCACAGCTGAGAAACAAGATTATTTATATAGATAAGCGAATACAGTAAACTACGTTTATAACGAACACGCTTATTACGAACTGACCGACATAACGAACTTAATTTAAGTCCCGGCCATTTGTTGTATATATACTGTATATATGCCTATAACGAACAATGGTTATTACGAACTACAATTACTGGTCCCTTTGTGTTCGTTATAACCAAACTTTACTGTATAGAATTTAAATTCACATCGTGAGTTCTTTTTCCTTTCTCGTTGTATACAAGGGCGGTGGGGGAGCCTTATGGTTAAAGCGTTCGCTCGGGTTCGATTCCCAAAATGGGTACAATGGTGTCCCCCGCCGTGATATTGCTGGAATATTGCTAAAAGCGACGTAAAGCCATACTCTCGCACTCACTCGTTGTATACATATGTTGAGGACATGTTCCAGATACCTATGATCTTGCAATCGTGTCCGGTGCTATGGGTGAAGGTCACATCCCGTGTGAAGCGCTTCACGAGATGGCTAGAATCGTCCGGCCAGGTGAGTGCAAGCCGAACCATGACATCCTGATTGATTTTAGTACGAAAACTAATATCTCTTTGACATTTAGGTGTCTTCTTGCGTCATTAGCAGGTTGTGTCCCCTTCTTGATCCTCCATGTCTGCCGTGCATGATGTAGTACCTCTTGTTTATTTGCAGCCTGGTGTGTGTGTGTTTTTAAAAAAAATCCAAAAAAAATCATCTCTTTCGGACAATGCTCGAAAACAATTGGTCCTCAGGGGTCGTTCAAGGTACATGCTGGCTGTTTTGAAAACAATTGTTTCAAGGCATCCCCCCAACAGACCCCTGCTGTGTTTTATGTTAGCTTTTTGTTTAACGCCACACTCAGCAATATTCCAGCTATATGACGGCGGTCTGTAAACAATCGAGTGAGGACCAGACAATCCAGTGATTGACATCATGAGCATCGATCTACGCAATTGGAATACGATAACATGTATCACCCAAGTCAGCGAGTCTAACCACCCGAACCCGTTAGTAACCTCTTACGACAAACATAGTCGCCTTTTACATTCTACCCCGGATCTTCACGGGTCGCCCCTGCCGTAAAACTTGTGGGACATTCTCACTGTTTGTTTGTTTCTTCGTTTGTTTCACACACTAGTAACCAATATTCAAGATTGACGACGTCAGCCTGTAAATAATCGAATCTGGGCCAGACAAATCCGTGATTTATGTGTGCAATGTTCCACAAAACGTCGGGGCACGCTGATACCCAATAAACCAAATACCCGAGCTTTGCCTCCCGATCCATGTAGTCCCCTCGAATTAAAAACGATACTCGTCCATTTCTATTACGGGTCCCTACGGGAGTGCAAAGATGTAGACCTCGTTCTTCCGTCGCCGCTGCGCATATCCAACTGTGCTAATAAAGAGTGGAACTAATTTACCCGAGTATTTTTTTCAGGCGGAATAATTTCCATCTCCATGAGAGAAGAGTTCCTAGATTCCTGCGCCGACTACAGGGGGCGCCTCGAGCCTTTAATGAAGAAAATGGAACAGGATGGAGAATGGAAATTGGTGTCGCGTGAAATCCGACCGAATTACTACTGTGGAAAACCTGGCTTAGTGTATCGATATTCCCCTAGTTAAATTCGCTGATTGTATAGAAAATATTTGTCATTTACTCAAGGTATGGTTATCATAGAGCTGAGTGTATTGTAATTGCCTTTGCGCTGACAAATTCGATACTTTAAACGAGCACTAGGCTCTGGCTTCTCCCCCGTTGTCCGACACTGGCCACAATGTAACAACCTCAGCAAGTCTGATCGTGACGAGAGACTGGGCTACCGTCTGGAGGCACAGCGGGGAAATTCACTTAGAGGCAACAATGACATACGCATGTCTGAACGCTTATTAGTTAGCGCATGCTAAGAATTCTATAACACAATGGCAAACGGTTATTACTTTCATAAACAGACATATGGAAACAAATGCATAGGGTGTATCTACTATTTCATTCTTCTGTACACTTTCTGGTTTGGGGGACATTAGCAGCAAGTTTTAATAGCAGTGTGGGGCACGGGTGGCCAAGTCGTCTAAATTCGCGATTCGCTGTGCAGAGTTGCGTCCCTTGGGCACGTCAGAAACCTAACGATTGTGGGTTCAAATCCCGTTCGCCCCGATTATGTTTCTAGGTTTGTCAGAACCATACCCGTGCTCGTCTGAGACCTGCATCACTTCGGGCTTTCCTCCCACATTTAGCCGACACGCCGCGATATAACTGGAATACTGTTAAAAGCGGCGTTAAATCCAACTCACTCACTCAATTTAATAGCAGTGTAAAAGTGTTAAAGATGACAATTTGTGATGTTTTAGTAAATAGTTGGTATATATGAGCATGTGATTTTAAGATGTAGATAACGGTTTTTAGATAAGGAAAACTTTTGTCTCTGTTCATATTGAGGTTTTATTCCAGTTTACATTCCAATAATATTTCAGTTACATCTTGTGTTTTAGTCCCTCGGAATCAAGGGAATATCTGTCCTGCATTCATTATGTGCCATGTTTGTGACCATTATTCAGTACATGTATGCCTGTGTCCATATCACCTTCTGTCGTATAATACACACTGTATGATCACGATGTATATGTATTAAAGCAAGTGGGTTAGCAGGTTGTGTAGTTTTGCGTTGGCCTTTGTTATATATCTGGATTAGGGTTTTGTTTGACTTATTTTGCCAAATTAAACAGGGCAGTGCATTACTAAACTGTAACTAGCCAGGATACGGGATTGAAACTTTGCAAAATACTACTTCCTTAACTTGCCTATCAAGCGAAACTGAGTGTTAATCTGAAAGGAGTTTTAACCAGCACTTCAAGGAGAAGAAATCCCAAAGTGATGGAGGTCGTTACCCACTGGTAAGACCCACAAGCATAGGTATCGTCTCATAACCTAGAACCATAATCGGGGCGTATTTGGAAGCGAGCCAACGACCAGCGACCCTGGTATGGCCAAGGGAGTATTTCTGCACATCAACTTGTACCCAGGCAGTGAGCGAGTTGACTCCGAGGTCCATCCATGGTACGACCCAGAATATGTAGAGGGCGTCACGGAAAATGATAAATACAAAATTCTTTGGAATAGGCCCGTAAGCAGCCTCAGTCCTATCCAGGCCGACCCGTAAAGATCCGGGGTAGAATAGGTCTTCAGCAACCCATGCTTGTCGTAAAATGCGACTATGCTTGTCGTAAAAGGCGACTAACGGGATCGGGTGGTCAGGTTCGCTGACTTGGTTTATACATGTCATCGTATCCCAATTGCGTGGATCGATGCTCATGGTGTCAATCACTGTATTGTCTGGTCCAGACTCGATTATTTACAGACCGCCGTCATATAGCTGGAATCAGTTGCTGAGTACTGCGTTAAACAACAAACCAACCAACCAACAAACAAACCTATCCAGGCCGCCAACAAATCTGATCTTGTCCTTTTTGATAAATCCAATGAAATCATTTATATTCTTGAATTTTCTGTCCCTTTTGACACTAATGTGATTGACAAGATTCAGGAAAAAACATGGCAAATCTGCAGACCTCGCTTTCGAAATGTTACGCTTGCATCCCATGTACCATGTTGTCCCACTCCCCATTGTTCTCGGTGCTTTAGGTTTGGTACCTCCCAATCCGTTAACTGACATTGGGAAAGTACCCGGATTTGTTTCCAGGAATACAGCCCTTCTGACAATCTGGGTAATGCAGAAGGCTGCAGTGTTGGGGCGTCTTCATATTCTCCCAAAAGTTCTGGGTAGGTTCGACTTGGCAGCGTTTCCTGTTAGATGATGAGCCTAACCAGCCTGACTGTGCCAGGATCACCCGAACCCTCTTTGTTGGGTGTATTTATTTTAATCTGTATACAATAATGATATAAATAATAATTATTAATTTACACACTAAAGCATGTTCAAGACACTACAGCAGTACCCCGCTCCATGGATCAGCTTTCAGTGGTGTTTTAGTTTTGTTGCTGGATATGAGCGTAATGTTGGACGGAGTGAGTTGGGTTAAACGCCGCTTTCAACAATATTCCAGTTACATCACAGCGTGACAGCTTGATGTCGGAGGAAAAGCCCGAAGTAACGCAGGTCGTATCTGTTTACCACTTTGGTAAAATCGATAAGCACGTATGGGGTTTTAACAAACCAAGGACATAATCAGAATATCTCCACTATGAGTGGGTCGTGGCACGAAGCTCTTTCCAGCGAAATCCAGCGCCTCGGGGCAGCGGCGAAATCATCAGTGTTGCCAAAATTAATGTAAGTTTTACACTGAAACACAACGTGACAGATTGCATTGTCATAACTGTTTTTATTATTTATAGAACAAATATTGTTAACAAGGGATAGGGATGTGATTAAAACACGAGAACAGTTATTATAAAAAAAGAAGAATACAAAAACATTTCAATCAACAATATGCCAGCATAGTTCAACTTCAATGTCTTCGGTAATTAAATACACGCTATTATGCAATGCTCCCGCTTAAGACACATCTCTTAACAGTTGGCGAACCAATTCTATAGGCAACATGCTAACACTTACGCAAGGAGCTTAAATCAGTGCCTTGCAGTCAAACGGAGGTTCACAGTAAAGAGGGATAGCAGATTATATAAAATATCGTTATTATGATACTCACACGAAAGTATTAGTTTCAGGTAACAATATTCGTAGATTTAATCATCACATGAAGACATAATATAACAAGAACAATAATCATTCGTAACCACTCGTGTCATTCAGGCACAAGCCGGAAGACGTCTTGAAGGTTACGGAAGAGGGCGAGTGGTGACGAATGGACCAGTTGAACTTCAAAACGAAGAGGAAGAAATGGATACTAACTCCAACTACTCACACGGGGATAGACATTTCATTTCCCACCAGTGGTGTATACACCATAGCTTGGTTTGGGGAGAAACCAAGGAGATCTTTACAGTTTTGGACAACGCAAACCATGGCATGGCAAGCCTACCAAAGCAGTTTCAACATATATCGCTCATATAACATCATACTACTACAATGTGTTAAGGACCACTCGAGTGATCCTTAACATGTTTTGAGTAGTATATATAGTCAGTAACCATAAAACAGGGCGTGGAATCACAGTAATCTAAAGTTCTGATTAGAATAATGAAATGGTAAGTCTTTTCACTATAAAACACCTATTTTAGCATATAAATACAAAGACATCCTTTATATCTCCAGGACTCGCATTTTGGTAAACCTACTCTGACACCTGGATCCATTCTCCTGGATCTGGTGATCTCAAATTACCCGCCCTAGATTTTCATTAACACTTAACCGACCAATCAAAAGTCGAGATAAGGGAAATGGAATAGGGACTTAACTGGACATGAGGACATCATTTCATTTAAAAAGATTTTGAGGGTCTTCTTTTGAACGGCAGTTTTTTTTTCAATGTTGAACTTCTTGCAAAACTTTAGCGTAATCAATGGGACTGGTCGCCATGTTGTTGATATCGCCAACCTAAAATTGAGGCTGGTGAGAAACTCTCAATCTGATTGGTCCGTAAGACTGAGTAGCTTAGCAAATCAAATTAGCTGACGAAAATCAAGGTAGGGTATTTTGAGATCGCGAGAACCCCGGGAATGGATCCAGGGGTAAGTGTAGATTTACCGAAATGCGCGTTCTGAAGTAGTCTGTCATAAAGATCCTGAATCAAATATACCCAACAGAGCCCATGGAAGGCTATAATAGTTGGCAGGTCTAGATAACTTCAGTACCAGCATCTGAAAATGAAGAGAGTCTCTGGGCTCCTTTTTATTATATTTCATAACCATAATTAACAACTGTTTTCATCTGTAAACTATGTTAATTTCAGAGACTAGATGTTAGTCTAACCATGGAGATATAGACGATGCTACAAAGAGTGCAATGCCAGTTCTCCAAACTTCACGCATAACTCCTCTATATCGTGTTTTATTTCAATGGGGAAAAGTCAATGCAATCAACCATGGCCTCAACATAAATTTGACTTTAAACATACACTTGACCTGCAATGGGTTTCTCGAAAACGACGAATTACGCGATATTTCTGTCATGTCCAAGAATCCATGACGTGAACACGTTTTAACGAATAAGAAATTCTTCCAATATTTTCTATAAATGAACGAATACAGTATATTCATAAATTAATATAAAAGAGAACTTGGAAGTGAAAAATAATATGTCGTTATTTCAATAAGAACTTCTTAATTATATGGTAGAATATACAATTCAAATCAAGAATAACCATAAGACATATCCCTCGATGCAACATTAAGTTAAGAGATGGGATTCTCAGAAACGTACCAGAAAAGACACATTAAGTCAAAGTTCCACTTGTTCTGTCGGGGAAAACATCATATTTGTCAAACTGCCCAATCAGCAAAAGCCACCATGTCCCCATCAGATGTTGCGATGTATGTTAGTTCTGCTTCACCTCGCCACCAGTTGAGGCTAATTTGTAGCTATGAACTTGTAAAAAAGAACCTGCTTCATCAGAATGTAATGTGTATGTAAAGTTTTGTGAAAAATATTAAATTGGATTTTGAACTATACAACAGCAACACATGAATACGGACGGACAGGCACACTGATAAAATTATATCCCAAGCATTATATGATGGGGGTGGGGGGTAAAAAGCTATTTCTTAAAATTACAAAGGGAGAGAACTCCCCAACTCTGATGAAAACTGGAGTAAACCTACTATGAATGAAATGCCCAAGGAAGCACTATAATTATTAAACTAACATAATCTGCGAAACATAAACGCAAGAAATGTTTCACAATATGAAAGACTGCTGTGGTGTGAATAAGCACATAAATCACGCATTCACTTACATTCATTGTCAATACCTCGAAGGTTTCTGACGCGTGTGTATTTTATTTCGGGCCGAATAGGACCGTGTGCAAATCACGGAAGTTAAATAAGCCTCACACCGTACACGAACTTGTGAGAACCCTACCATTACTTCTTATTGGAGCAATGCGTAGAGCAGATGGCCGCAAGACCGTTGCACAGATGTAACCCTACCTGAGCGCCCATTGGTCTGAACACTCGCTAGTTTCCCTCCCGCTAGAACCAGGCTGTCTTTTGATTCCATGGTTAAAAATAGCGACTGCACGGTAATATCTATTCATGAATGATGGGGAAAGTAGTGTATAATGACATTTACTAGCAATAAGTTTTGCTAAAAAATATCTCTTACATCTTGAACTTCAGACAATGGCAGAAACTAGTATCTCCCTCGTAGGTAATCTGACAAGGAGATGCACCACATAGAAAGCCACATAACGTGCAAGGACACATGGTATATCATGGTATATCATGGTATAGCAGCCCACTGAAGGTGGCCAATCACATAAATTATATTGAAACTCGAATCAACAAAAATGACAGCTGAATGTCTTACCACAGCCTAAATAAATCATTTAGTCTGTGGCCTTAAAATATCCAACCCTTACAATAACCTCAGTTTGTGCTTTGTACATATGATTCTATGTAGTTTTTGATCTTATGATCTGTGCATAAATATCTATAAATCAAGACAACAACAAAATATAAAATTGAGATTTCTAAAGATCACAGCCATAAATATCACTAGTGCTAAAGAATCACAGTGGGAAAGTGAGGGAGTAAAAGAAGAGACTCAGGGTTATGTAGCAACATACTTCACCAATATCAAGATGAGGCACCCAGAATGGGCTTCACACATTGTACAATAGACAGAAATAGATCCAAGGCTTCAGCATGCCTTTACCACAAGGCTATCAATATTAAGGACAACTTTGTCCAAATATCTTAAAATAAGAAATAACTTGTAACTAATTAGCCGTTATGAATAACTGTTTCACTTCGAGTGATGTTTCACTTTTGAAGTCCCAACATCCTTAATTCTCCAGGGTATAATAGCTCCATTCACTCCACAAAAGTTTGGTTGTGAATGAGTCCGGGGTATTTATAACAATTGAGATAACATATCCTGTATATTTGAGGATGGATATCCAAATGTTAAGTACTTTTCACTTGATTAAACCTTTTAAAGTTACACAGAGGCGGTCCTATTGATGTGGCTATGGTAGTGGATGGGTCCAGTGTATTTATCACAGGATGGAAATATTACACCCTGGATTATCGAGGATGGAACTACATCTGCTGGGAACATCTACATGTAGACAGAAGACACTGCACTGTACTCACAATTAATTAAACATGAAATGTGTATATCAGACATTTTGACAAGGAACAGGAATGTCGGGACAAACACTGTTTCAAGTTTGACATCTTTCTATTAGACAGTTTACAAATAATTCATTCAACAGACACACAATTGGAAGCACATACTAAGCAATATTTGTTTGTTGATTAATGACACTCAGCATTATTCCTACTGATAAATAGGAAGCATGAAACTAGTAATATCCAGACCAGACATACCAGTGAATACTTTTGTGGGCAACATCTGTGATTTGGGCTTTGCAACAAAAATGTACTTTGACTGAAACCTTGTGTCATCGTTCCCCATTATAAAACATTTTCTACCCCGACCATATAGATCGTTGCTCATAATATCAATCACAGGTTTGTCTGGTCCATATTCGAAAACTTACAGGCTGCTGTCACAAAGTTGGAATAGTGCTGAGTGAGATATTAAACATCAAACAAACTAGTAGTTTTATGAAAGGATATCGATATCATAACATTTCTAAAAAAAACAATATAACCTCTTGCAAATTTTGTCCTAGAAAATCAACAAGATTAATAAAACAAAGAAACCAAAATTGTATAGTTATAACAGTATTATGAATTTCCCTGTGTGGGTAGCGACTATTTTGGTTATTTTACACTTATGTTGTTTGTCCAAGGACTGTGAACACCATTCTGTCAATCTTTGATAACACATGACAAGTTCTAGTTGCAATGATGACAATGGGTCAGACTCAGGAGCAGTAAAGATAATGACGAAAGTCTTTAGCACTCCATGCAACAATGAAGAGGTGAAATGACTGCTGTGTCCTTGTGTGGACTTTGTGCTAACTCTTTTGGCAACATCCATTTTACCTTCACTTCTCAATATTGATCCATGGCAAGGGTGGTTAATCCCCTGGATGTTCCTCCTAATATACACATGACATCTAACTACATCTGGAGGTGTTTGACTCACTGGCATCTATTTGCAAAATCTTAATACAACAAACATTTGGGACCAAAACAGAGTACAAGATCGTCACGCATCGTGTGCAGAAAGACATTTTCATGCGTTCCCTCACAGATTTGTCAGATGTTCAAACTGTGTGATGTACCTGGAGAAGAAATGCCTAAGTTCTTAATGTTTAGTGTTGATAATGCTAACTTATATAACTTACCTATATTTCAGAAACAGTAAGGAAATTCTCATTCACTTTTTTGGGTGGTTTACATTTGGATTTTATGAGAGGTTTTTACTGACAAGCTGTATGTTCCAAGCCAATTTATTATCAAACTCTTGTATATACTACTACATAAGGTACATAAGACAGCAATGTTTTGACAATGTTGACAATTTTGCACTCAGTAATTCACTCATTAATGTAAGCACTGATGAAGTAGTCCTCATATTGATCAAACATAAGCTGAGTTTTGTTGCCAACAGATAATAATTCAAGGATATATTTTAATTCAGGGGCAGTAAAGTCAGAATTATTTCAGGAAGTTAAGTGAGGTAGGACTGAATAAACAGACTACTAAAGAGAGATGTACATGAACTGAATAATTCCCCATTTTGGCAGCTTTTCACCCAAAACAGTCATCTCCCTGAGGCAAGGGCTGAAATTTATATTTTGGCTGGACTAACGAGTCTATGCATAGACAAATCAAAATCTCGTATTTAACATCCGGTTTGTAAACTGCCGTGTAGATTTCGGTTGATTGCAGGATTTGAAAAGCATGTGTACCCTCAACTTAGAATCAACAGATATTTTCCAAATCTTTTCAGGTTTTTGATTAAGGTAGTCACGTGTTTTGATGCACTTTGTGAAGTAAGACATGTTTTATCACAATATAGATCAAATCGTCTTGACTGGGTGCTGCCATTCTGTTTTAAGTAAATGCAAATAATATGAGAGGTGGAATCTGATTGGTCAATAGGAGGGACATGCAAGGGAAATAACTTATAACAGCCACTGGTGGCGCTATGATCGAGCTCAGAAATTCCAGCCTAGTTCGGCAAGGGTGGTAACTGGACTATTTTGACAGTCGGTTAATTCCCTTGCCTCGGGATGATGCAAATCTGTATTTACTGTTACACCCTAAAGTGACTTTTACTGTTAATCCTCCATATCGATAGTTACAACTACTAAGCACAGGTTTTTATAGTTGCACACTTTGACAAGCACTTCTCTGAAAGTTAACTCTAGTTTAATCAGGAGCAGAACAGGGTATAGAGTTTCCGATATTCTAAACGAAAGAATCACAAACAGCAATGATCCCTACTGCCGAAAGTTAAATGTTACAAGGCATCATGGAGCTAAAGATAGGATTTTAATGACACTGATTAATTTCAAACTCATCATGTGTAACTTTCAGTCTGACCTTGTTTGGTGAATACAGTCATTACCGAACACAGTTGATATGAACAGGGATATTGCAAAAAGCTACTTTCCTTCCTTACATGAAACTTAAAATACATACATGCAATATCCTTGAGTACTGTAACATAACTTAGGTCTATTGTTCCAGTATTGGTATATATTAAGTGTTGGTAAAGCTATGTTTTGCAACATGTACTAATAAATCTATTATTAACCAATAACCATGTTGGGAATGTCCTTTCCTTATGGTCCAATACCTTCACAGGACAGTGTGATTATGTCAAATATTAGCTTTCTTATCCAGTATCAACCATAAAGATACAATGTAACAAAGATTGCATATCTTATGCACTTTAAACAATCCCTGATATTAATTGATCTAATTAATTGACTCACTAATTAACAACCCATGGCACAGGAAATGCTTCCATCTACTGGTACCAATTCGCTTCATTGTTTATGTTAACAGTTACAAAACAACAAAACTACACTGCATGGGAAACACAACCAGTTGTCTTCATGTACTCTTGAAATTTTGTTTCTACAAGATGGGGATTTTCCTTCATAGCAGGGCTGGGACGGTCAACTCAGGTACTTGGGTCAGGTGGATCATGAGTGGGACCCGGGTACCCACATGACACCTGCACCATGGTTAGTCATTGTGATATATTTGTGTAATGACAATTAACAATAAAACTCCATGGTGACACTAATGTTCCTATTACTTTCTGAATATACACGCATTCCTTGTATAAGTTTGAGTGAGTGAGTACGGTTTTTACACCGCTTTTAGCAATATTCCAGCAATATCATGGCGGGGGACACCAGAAATGGGCTTCACACATTGTACCCATGCCGGGAATTGAACCCGGGTCTTCGGCATGACAAGTGAACGCTTTAACCACTAGGCTACCCAACTGCACCATATAAGTTTGAACAAAGATAAAACTTAGTCAACTTCAGTGTCTGCACAATCAGTTCATTTTATACTTTTATCTAAATAGTTTTTGCCAGGGGTCAAGTACAACAATTACCAAACTGGACATTTTGTGCCCTACACTTGAAACCTACAGCAGGTTCCCGGGTAGGGTCGGGTAATAGGGGGTCAGGTGCCCAGTAGGGCTGGGACGATACACCAACCGTGTGATCTGGGTAGGGTCGGGTAATAGGGGGTCAGGTACCCAGTAGAGCTGGGACGATACACCAACCGTGTGATCTGGGTAGGGTCGGGTAATAGGGGGTCAGGTACCCAGTAGGGCTGGGACGATACACCAACTGTGTGATCTGATACGTATCACGATACCTTACATATGATGATACATGCATGGGGTCTTATCTGTGGTCTGTAAGCCATCTTTTTCATAGACAGGATGGCCAAATACCTGATTTACAGTTGGCAGTGTATGGCAAAATGGATGAAAATATTTACGTTTTTACTATAAACTTACATTACTATTAATTAGTAATAAGTGTTTAGTGTAACAGTTATAAAGCAAACATTTAAGGTAAGAATCGATACTTTTTACTTAGTGAGTGACTGTGATCGATACTTGTATCAAGAAGTAAAAAATCACGATCCCCCGATGCATCTGTGTAACGTCCCAACACTAGTACCCGGGTAGTTAATGTGGACTCGTCCCAGCCCTGCTTCATAGCAGGTTGTTTCCTGTTAGAACAAGGTCATCTGTGTCTAGTATTTCAGTCTTGCTACATATCAAGCATATGCATGAGTGTCAGTATTGCAACTTTCAACAAGTGATAAAACTATAAACATACAACTATCCATAACATTTATATCTTATTCTGACTAGAAAACACACCACATGCAGTAACATTATTCAATCCAAATAAATACAAAACTCTGTATAAACAATATAAATGCAAACAACAGGTAAAAAGATAAACTTTTATGGATACAAATTATGGCAGCTCAATTCAACAAAGAAAGTACTTTGATAATCACCCTTTTGTGGTTACCATGGTAACCACTGTAACTGTAAATTGTAAAATCAACTTCCCATTTTGATAACTGGAACATATATACTATACATGGAACAATAATTATAAAGAATTTGTCTCAAAAGAACTTCGTCTAGAAACAGCTTGTTCAAATCAAAACAATTTGATGTATACTTAGGACTCTGGTCTATCTGGTTTTGCATATATAAGCTGATCGTGCATACTCACAGTAACCATAGCAACTGTATCCATGGCAACTGTCTCAGAAACACATCAGTTTGTTGAAAATAACAGTATTGTTATTAAACTTGCAATTTCAAATAAAAGTACTTATTCATGCAAGACATCATCAAAAGACCAAAAATAATGTCCAATATATAATGTTCATTGAAGTTGAATACATTAACAAGGAGTGAGTAAACTTATGAAATAGTCTTAAGTGACATGTCTGCACAGTATACCTAGAGTTACTAACCACTTGGGCAGTAGCCATGGTTATGATACATATCATTTGAATATGATACATATCTTGACAGTAAGGTAGCGACATGATACACGATGCTCGAAACTTGACATGCTAGAAAAGCATTCCCATCGAAGGAAATGGATATTAACCCAACTTAATACTATTTAGTAGAGTTTAGACATTTGATAAACAGTGGTAATAGATATCTTTTGCATACAAGTATGAAATCGTTGTTTAAATTTAACCTTCTACCATTTTACATGTCACCTTAAACATCCTTTTATCGTTTTGTATCGATGCTTGAGCAACCGATAGAGTAATCATATTGTGAGACACAGTATCACGATGCACCAATTGCTCAGTGATTTGTTACTGCCCTTCCTATACATTGGTATAGTGAAACATGGCAACTGTATCTCCTAATTGCATAACAACAAACTGAAACTGACATAGTTGACGAGTCTTGCACTAAAAGAACATAAACTCTTAATCTGACCAGTTGCGTCCCTTGGGCACGCCAGAAACCTATGATTGTGGATTCGAATCCCGGTTCGCCCTGATTATGTTTCTAGGTTTGTCAGCACCATACCCGTGCTCGTGGGTTTCACCGAAGTGGTAAACGTCTGAGACCTGCATCACTTCGGGCTTTCCTCCCACATTAAGCTGACACACCGTGATATGACTGGAATACTGTTAAAAACAGCGTTAAACCCAACTCATTCACTCACTTCATCTGACCAGAACATTAATATTTTCCATTACCAAAAACTACGTTCTTCTGAGATGCAAAATATATAAACCATTCCGAAAAATTTGAAAGACAAAATATATCGGGAAAAATCAACAACTTCAATGTTGTTTGGCATAAAGTAAACCCAAATTATAGCAATGCACATTATAACAAAGTCTCACAGCTGTAGCAATCTTAGGAAACAATCTGTCGGCTTTCCTCACCAACTAATGTTCATGGCAGTTAAGTTTTATACACCTCATCAATGAGGAGGTCAATCTGATCACGGGTCATGAACTTCTGATGTATCTTGACGTGCACTCGCATGTTGTCCGCCCTTGTGCCAGTACGACCACAGACCTTACACACAAAATGCTTGTTGGGGCAATGCACTGTACGAACATGCTTGGTGAGGTCGCCTCGCTTGAAGAACGAGCTGCCGCAGGTATCACAGACGTGGGGCTTCGATGTCGTGTGGACTCGCTTGTGCGATGTGCAGTGTGTGAGTGAGCCGAACATCTTGTTGCAGATGGTGCATCTGTAAACTGGCTTGGCTGCCTTGTCACTGTGACTCAGTTCATGCTGCTGAAGAGAGAGCAAGGTCGGGAAGGCATCCATGCAGACATCACACGAATGTTGAAGTCCATGACAGGTGAGAAGGTGGTACTTCAGACTCCTCCACGACCGGAATGACCGGACACAGTGCTGGCACAGGAAAGGGAGCGGTTTGTTTGGAGAACCCGACGTTGATCCACCTTCGTCCGGCTCTGCTCCACATTCGGACATACCTTGAGAATCCTCGTCCGTGATGACTACGGATGTTGACTGACCCATATGCTGCCTCCTGTGATGATTTGCTAAGAGACCGGGATCGGGGAAAACCTCCCCACAAAGTTCACAGCTGTAGTTGTTCATCCCTGTACTATGGTCAGACATCTGGGGACTAGACTGAGAGACTGGACTAGCATGGGACTCTAAATGTTGCTCCAGCAGTGCCATGGTGGAGAAGCTGCGATCACACTGGTAGCACTTGATCTCCCCAGTGGACTCGGCAGTGGCCACCAGCTGACTCTGCTGCAGGAGAGCTGTGGGACTTCGCGGACCGTGATCCGAAACAAGGTGGAAGAGAAGGCTCTCAAGAGGAAGCGTTCCTTGGGAGCAGACGAGACAAACACGTTCGTAGCTCTGGCGATGAGCATCGACGTGCATCAAGAACACTTCCCGACCTTGACAGAACACCTGACACAGAGGGCAGGCTGTGACAAACATCTCTGGCAGAGTATGTTGGTCGTCTAGCGGGGACATGAGGGATGGTTTAGCTCCACTCCATACCTCCCCTGGTTCGATGGCAGTGAGGTCCTTACTGCTGGCACATGATTTGGAGGAGTCCGAGGTCTCCTTCTTCACTGTAACTTCCTCGTCATCTTCTATCACAATCAGATCAGGTTCTGCAAGTAGTTAGATAGGACATGACTGGGGGATGCATATGAGGTGAGGTGAAATGGGATTTAACATCCTGTTCATGATTGTTGCACATATATAGCAATGTTCATGCACATGTGTGTGGCTGCTTGCCCTAGTCAGGACTAATGCTGGTTTCATAGTGGTTGCCCACTGAGATACCACGCCACAGTTTAACTGGGATACCCCACTCAGGAACATCATACCGACTCTGAAATGACCAGTCCTAGTTTTATCCCCTTAATTACAAACTCCAAGCAAGGTAACAACATGTACCTCATTTTAACAACTTTTGTTATGATGTGGCCAGGGTATCAAATTTTTGACCTTCCACTCTCTGGGTAGATGCTCCTCCACTAGACCATGGAGGTGGTTAAAAGCAATGTTATTATACAATGATAAAATTTTGCTGAAATTAAGAATAGAAGAACTTAAATAAATCCCAATTTTGAACAAAATAAAACATTTTTTACCCAAATTGACTGTCAACAGGTGGTCAAGCTTATTTAGTAGGGAATCCTAGATAAATCTCTGCTGTGGGAGAAATACAAGTATTCATCTGACAGTGTGGCCACGCACTAAGACTGACACAACTCCCAGTACACTGGACCACACCAGTGTTATGTCTAGTTGCCAAAGCAGCCACAATATTATATTCATGATACACACTGAATATTTATTATTATCTCACATGCACCATCCAATTTTTTCAGCCTTAGAACATCTGAGTTACAATCTACACTCGACATACATAAAAAATATCCAACCTTCATCACTGTCTTCAGCTTCTCCGTCGTGCCTATGTTTGTCTGTGCTTCTCTCTTGCTCCGCATCTTCACTACAACATTCAGACATCTCCGACTTATTACCAAACACTTGAAGTCCATCTCCAGCACCAGACTTTCTGTCCCCCTTCAACTGAGAATCTGACGACTCAATCTGCTTCCCTTTGTCTGGCAATGACTCTTGCATGGCATATCGATCTTTTACCTCTTGAGTTCGAGAAAGGGATGGGGAATATCTTTCTTTGGGCTCATTTGAAGCTGATCTTACAATATTTCTTAAAACATCGGAACAAGATGTAGACTGTTTTTCAACTTTGTCCAATACAGACAGCCATGATGGTGTGGTTGGTTTTCCTAAACTAAACGCCGGTGATAAAGGTGACTGTTCTCTAGATCTGGATTCTTTTTCCACACTGGCTGAATTCTTGCTTCTACTTAAATCATGAGCAATTTCAGAAATGTTTCTCCTATTCAAAATTTCTTTCAAGGTCCTATGAGAATCACAAGGATGAGTATCACAGTCATGCTCTGAAATGTCCTTTTCTGTACAAGAGTATTTTATTTCCTGTTTCTCGTCAGGTTCAATTTTCACTTTGGCTTCTGTGACTTCGCTATTGGCCACAGAAACAGGTGATGAGGATGGAGAGTGACTGCCGACTACAGCCAGATGATGGGGGTCCTTCCTGTCACAGTCAATCTCCTGTGCTCGTTGGGCTATTTCGTACAGTTTGATGTTAAATGAATCTGTTTTGTTGATGGTTAATGACAGTGTCCCTTCCAGGGCAACAGAATGGATTCGCCCGTCTGGTGAGTTTTCGTATAACTCAATGACTCCGTCGAGGAAGGCTCGCCTCAGAATCTTCTCCATCACACTGCGGCTGAAATCAAACCTAGCCATGATGCCTGCAATACACAAAGAAAAATATTCATCAATAACAGTACAATATGTTTACACACATAATTAATGACAAATATTTATTGATTATAGTGTCTTTAATTTAAGATAATTTTTGCACAAAATTAATAGAAACATGAATGATACCATGGTGCCGGACAATGATTACCGTATTCGACGTAATAAGCGCCCCGCTCTAATAAGCGCCTATGGCGATATTTGCTAATATCATGCATGGCTAGTGAACAATCCCAATTAGCACCCCATCCGATTGATTAATGTACACAAGACTTATTTATTTGTGTATAATATGCACTCGTGTGTTATATGCATCCTTAATTATGGGCTATTAAATTCTGGAAAAATATATAATACGCACAGACTTTTCTCTTGTATCATTCAGGCTGTCAGCATATATCACAGAATTTACAATCTTTCAACTCTGTTTTTTCTCTCACCAAAACTTTATTCTAATAAGAGCCCCCTATTTCTAATTTTGAGAGCGCCCTGGGCGCTTATTAGGTCGAATACGGTACATGTAATTAACTCTGCTGCTGGCGTCATGAGAGTATATTACAAGGACACATTAATCTATATATTTCACATCTGTATTATGACACTTACAAGCACCTCATGACTTCTTTTCATGCTTAAACATCAATAATATAACAGCTTCTCCTCATTCTGCAACTGTTACTCAATACTGGTTGGGAGTCAGATAGGCATAGGTACAAAATGAGTATTTTCTAAAAAGTGAGTTATTTCAATACATGTCTGCTTATGGGAACAAAGCTTAAAGGGGCACTGATCTAACGCAATTCCCCGGACTGGTTGTTGCCTTTGTTATTGTTTTTCCCCCGTGAGTACCCGGATGATACGCAACGCAACTGAGCGTGACCAGAGACTGGGCTACCGTCTGCAAGGACAGCTAAATAAACTTGGAGGCTGGAGGCAATATTTGTTTTACGCATCTTTGAACACTGGTTAGTTTAACCGTGATCTATAAAGATTTCGACAAATTGCGCATGTTAATTAATTTCTTCAGCCTAAACAGACAAAAAGAACGGCGGAGCTCATCGTATGTCGTCATTTGGAAATATCCCAGATGGTTATAGTTTAATAATAAAAAAAAGTATCCATGCAGTGAAAGCATTTTCGGATTTCGGATTGTGTCGATAATACGATTACTACTCACTTGTTGTCATCCACGTTTTCTGGTATAACCCTACACTTGTGTATTTGTCGTCATTCAATTGATGCTCAGTTAATGAATTTATTACAGGTACAATTAGTGGTAGCACCACTTAGATTACCTGACAAAGGTTCCCATTTGGCATTTATTGTGTCTGGGGTAATTATTCAATCTAAATCCAGGTTTGAAGTGAGGTGAAATGTGTGTTATGTAATATGCACGTGGCAGCCCAGCAAGAGGTGAATGATCAGTTCATTTATTTTTTTGTAAATCAACGGATCGTTCCTAGTCATCAAAGGATTAACAGAAAATACGTTGATTGATTAATCACTGTTATCTTGCACAGTGGATATGTCAAAAGGGAGTGTTTACATGTCTAGGTTTACTAAAACAAAGGGAATACACTCATATCATGGCGTTAAGTGTCGATGTAAAAACAACATACTTTGTTCAAAGGGTTAACTAATAATACGTTGATTGATTGCTCATTGTAATATATCACTCAATGGATTTTTCAGGAACCGTGGATGTTATGAAAATAGTTGTCACGTGGGCTTTCTCAGCTGACCCTTGAGACTTGACACCTATGTGAAACACCTGAAACAATCTAAGTGATCAGTCTAGAAAGGAACACGGGTTATAATATCCCGAAACGATATATATCTTTAAAAATATTTGATTGTTACAGAGACATGTGACATCGAATAAGTTTCTTTGTACAGCTGCAGACGAGTGGGATATTGTTCCTTTGTGTGGATATTCACGGATACATTTCTCGAACAAGGAAGCTGCCCAAAATTTATACACATAAATTTGGTAGGTTGTAATTATGGTATTTGCATTTTGTTTTCCTTCATTCGCTGTAGCATTGAACCGATTCGTTCTTGTTCCTCTACGTCTTCGTTGGGAAATTCTTCAGATTGACTAAAATTGATTAAGACGATCAAAAGGGCCTAACAACATCACAACAGATTATTATGTTGGATTAGAAGCCAAACAACATAGAAATGTACTTTCAACGTAACATTTTCAGTCTCTTGGTGATGACATTAAACATCAAAATGTTTGGAATTCGTTATCATAATAATACAGATGGAAATGTTTTTCAGTCACTTTGTAAAATAACTGAATATTTAGGCGTTTAATAAATTTGAAAATGTTACACATTTTGACAGTAAAAAAATATACACACTATAAAAAAAATCAATGCTCAGGTGAAATATTTACTTTGTGTTGCAAGTCAAAATAGTGTAAACGAAAATCGCAAAATTACCAAGCAAGTGATTTATCAAAATTTCGTCACCATTACTGATGCTACCCGCAAAAAAGATACCTACATTTCCTTATTATCTCGAAAACTGTATTTCATTTTGTTGATCAATGTGACCATACGCCCTTATTACTACCCATAAAAGTGACTAATGCGCTTACGAATGGCGCAGCAGAGGTCGTGAACTAGTCTAGATTTCTGCTATACATCCGGGTACTCACTGGGAAAAAACAATAACAAAGGCAACAACCAGTTCCGGGAAATTGCGTTAGATCAGTGCCCCTTTAAGGTGATGCAGGTTATAGAAATTTGGGGGTATGCATGATGCTGCCAGGCCAACATGCAAAAGGATCTGAAAAAGGATAAATACTGGATTTGAACCAATGATCAACATATCCCTGTGTGGCTACAGGATGCATCAGGGTGCAACCAGAGCATATACTGATATGGTCTCTGACTCTGTGCAACAGAATGTGTTTTTCAAGTGTGTACATTTTGAAAATTATGACTGAATGAATGTGGTACACATGCATTTCACCTAACACCTATCCACCATGTTTGTTTGATGCTACTAATATAGTCGTATGCGACATCATCACCATTTGAAAAATGGGCGATATATCTCAAAATATACATAAACTGTTCTTCAAGTTTTACTTGTTCATCGATAATTATTTCCACATCAACTGTCTGAAAATGATATGTTGTAATAACTTGCTGTTATCTATTTGATCACTGAATAAAAAAATATTCAAATCAAACTTTAGTTACCGTTAAAAAAACCGATGCTACAGTTGTTGGATGGATATGCCAGTTCGTCTGCTAAACTGTAACTGCTAGAATCATATAAGGAAACCATAGTGCTGCCGGGTGTTGTTGGTGCGTTGACATATTGGATCAGATACACTATTTATAAAGTATATATGCGTTCTAAAACATGATCAAACGAGATTGCTGACATTAAAAAATATAAGAAACGATCAACTCTACTGCATTCAGAGACATTCACCAATCGGCAGGTTGTCACATTTTTTGCAATTTTTGCTGAAAAAGATTCTGTTACTTGTGAAAAAGACGTGCATAAGGAACCTCAAAGACTAAAATCTACTTCACAATTACAAATTAGCGTTATTCTACCTACCTGTGATGAACACAGTCACAGAAAACCGCCTAATTCTAAGTAATTTGTAACCAGAAACACCAAAATATTTTGATGGAGGCCATCTTGGGATTTATTTTAATCATTTCCCGGAATTATCTCCCCTGGTATGAGAAGGACTGCCGCTAAAAAAAATATTTATATGCGACATTAACATAATTGTTTTTGACTTTAGCGAAATGGTCGAATTCGAGAATTAATTCAAGTTAATAAATGGTAGATACATATAACATGCCGTAGTTACAAGACATTTGTAGACAATTGCTACAACGAGATATGAAATATTAGTAAAAGGCATGAAGATGATGAAGCGGACCTATAATATTACGTTTGCACACGCTCACGACAAGGGGTAGACCGACACATGTGTTACAACTGCTTGCCAGAAGGGCCCACGGCAATATTACGTGTGAAAATATGGACAGAGTAAGGATGCAGCTGTTCCTTAATTGTAATAAAACCTTATGAGTCTGTTGAAATTAAAATTGGCTTTTCAGATTTATTTGTATTTGAAAATAACACACAACCGTCCTTAGACCCACCAGTCTCACCCCCCCCCCCCCCCCCCCTCCCCCCAACACACACACACACACACGCAACCAACAACACCCAAACAGTCCTTTTCAAACATACGAGCAGTGTAAAGTGTGTGTGTGCGCGCGTGTGTGTGTTTTGAATCCCCCGTGCATCATCCAATGTTAGGTTCTGTAAATAAATCTTTTTGTATTATTATATATTATATGCACGAGACGATAAATTAAGGTTGGTGGTTTTTCAACATGTTCTCAATAAAGATATTTACTTTGTTTTTACGCTCGGGAATCACGATTCCGTGATAATAATGACACGAGATAGCTTTCTCCCACACCAAACTATCATGACAAAGCTGCTTTTTCATTTTACCTCTGCTGACACGATTAATATACGAGGTCACTTCAACAAGGTCTTATTGACTCTCTGACGGAACAAATTAAAAAATCAATTCTCCCGATGGAATAAATGCGCTCGTTAGATTCATAGAAGATGCAAGCTGTTAAACGTATCACCAACTCTCTCATATCCCATCAAATATTCGTTCCAGTTGAATTACCTCTTTTCACGTAACTATATACCCAGCATGCACTTTAGACATTGCTGGATGTCTGAAAGGATGCCATTCCCTTCATCATTGCCATGTTGGATAAGACATATAAATAGCATGTTAAAAAAACATCGAACATCCATATTCAGGGACATGTGTTTTTATTCGGCAGCCCTTCCCCGGGATAATACATTTTCCCCGGCTGAGCTTCAGTCATGCGTAATGTCTGTGTACACTCAGCTACAGTAATTAACAAAGGCTGTCTGTCCGCCCGCTGTGATCGTGTAGTATTTTTGGTCATGGGCGTCGGTGGGTTCTCCGGCCAGTTCCGTCAGGCTGCAGTGGTAACCAATATAAATATCGACCACTGACTTGATTATCTAAGAGTTGAATTTACGCACGAAAAGATAGTATGTGGAAAAACGACAAAGTCTTGAGTAGAGCACAGGCCCTTAAAAATGTACCCCTTGGATGGTTAGAGTGAGTGAGTGAGTTGGGTTTAACGCCGCTTTTATCAGTATTCCAGTTATATCACGGCGTGTCAGCTTAATGTGGGAGGAAAGCCCGAAGTGATGCAGGTCTCAGACGTTTACCACTTCGGTGAAACCCACGAGCACGGGTATGGTGCTGACAAACCTAGAAACATAATCAGGGCGAACCGTGATTCGAACCCACAATCATAGGTTTCTGGCGTGCCCAAGGGATGAAAATCTGCACAGCGAATCGCAGCGCCTTAGACGACTGGGTCACCCGTTCCCCCTTGGATGATAAGAGCAGATAATGTAACAGGTAATCTGCACACAGGGGTGCTGTGGAGCAAATACGTAATATAATACGTAGTACAATAATGATCCATTAATAGAACACTGGTGTTTTCCAACATTCGAAGCTGCCAATGCCCCGTGAACCACATCCAATCTTTGAGAAAACTGGCGTGACGTTGCATTCATTTGCCGCTACAATTAATATTATCTGAGGGCATGTGATGTTATAAGAATCCATCTATAGGGATACCCTTTTTACATGTTTAATCCTACCCTTACATTCAGTAATACTTCGGCGATAAAACCACATGACCCCTGGACCCCCACCCCCAACGCCCCACCCCTCTGGGTCAGATGTCAGATGTGCCAGAAATCTAAGATGGTTTGTTGGAACCCCAGATGGTTTTTTTTTTATACACGTTAGTAGTTATAACACTGACTTCGTGTGCAAAGAGGTACTTGTATTCTACTGTGTGAGTATGGGTTAACGTCGTTTTTAGCAATCTTCCAGCAATTTCACGACAGGGGACTCAAAAATGAGCTTCACACATTGTACTTATGTAGAGGATTCGAACCCGGGCCTTCGGCGTGACGAGCGAACGCATTAACCCCTATGCAACCCCATCGTGAAGCATTCTACTGAGACGTATAATGTATTTACATCACGTGTTCCGTTAGGTGTTCCAGTCTTTAGATATCGCTCCATGGCATCCTCTAACACAAACATTGAATACTTGTCATCATGCCCGATGGCGTGGAAATGTTCATGTTATCAACCCTCGGTTTACATGCGAATATTCATAGCTGGTCTGCATATCGCTGATAATGTGTAAACTAGCATTAACTCACTTCAAATACTGTACAGGACAATATACAGCTTATACACCTGAAAAAAAATCACTTGTGTGTATTATGCATTAAATATACAAAAAGACACAATCAAGCGTACCAGTCACCGAGAGCAGATATAATGCTCAGTAGTTTACTATTACCCCTTCCACACGAAATCAGTGTTATAACTACTATATTTATGGTAGTTATAAAACGCATATATAGTAATTATAACACGTATATATAGTAGTAATAACACGTATATATAGTAGTAACAACACGTATATATAGTAGTTATAGCACTGATTTCGTGTAGAAAGAGATACTAGTATTCCATGGAGCATTATATCTGCTCTCGGTAACTTGTACATTTGTCGACTAGTCTTGGATGCAGTAGTTAAGTCCCTACGGTACTGTTTTCCTTTACGGAACACGTCGAACATAATTTGCTCTTTAAACCGTCATGTAACTTCTGGCCAGTGAGTATAGATTGAAGAAACCTGACGCTGTTTGACGTCACGTGTGAAGGCCATGCATCTGCGGCAAGGAAGGGAGACGGACGCAGAGGGACTGTAGCTCACCCTGTGTTTTGGGGTTTCAGGTCATCGGCATGTTGCAACTGGCTTTGCTGTTCCCATGGGAACCAAAATACCCTCTTGATGTTGGGATGCTGGGACGCCATTCTGCAACTCTCAAGACCGTGATAGATTCTCCAAGTCCAGAAGCGAGGGACCCGAGGACCGTACCTCCTAATTACCTACAGATATTTGTGGCTCACGTCCATGCAAGAATTAACCCAACACCGGGTTTCATGCTCACTTACACTTAAAGTCTTTACATTCCAGAATACACAACGTACTGGACAGGATAGACGGACGGACATGCAACTGAAGGCTAGGTTAAATATAGTAATAATAATAATATGTTCTTTAATTTCTTTTTAGCAGTATATATAAACAAGTTCAATACGGCGCAATGAAAACATGGCGCTTTTCGGATATTTAGAGGGAGGTTTGATTGTTTGTTTATTTTTCATTTGGTTGTTATTATTATTTTTCTCTGAAAGTGGCGCCAAACAATTATAAGGGACACACATTGCTTTTCAGAACATCCAGTACGTATAGCGAATTATGTTTGCCAGCATCTTCCCACTTGACTATCAAATGGCCGCTGCTACCGTTCTTCCACCTGCATGACCTTCACCTTTCAAAAGCGGCGACCACGGTCTGCCAACAGCGGGTGCTGGCATAAGTTTTCTTCCAGTCTTGACGGAAATAGCCAAACGTGATATTCGACTTAAGTAGATCCGAACACCATGGTGCGTTATTGTTGTTGTTGTTGCTCCTGCTGTGTGCGTGCGTGCGTGCGTGCGTGCGTGTGTGCGTGCGTGTGTGTGTGTGTGTGTGTGTGCTATCAATTCTATACACAAACATAATTTTGTTACGACCTCTCGCCGGGAATAATGATTAAACTCCACATCAAAGAAGGTTTATGGTACAAGCGAAACAACCCACGATTGGCTGGGCTATCAACGATCGGAAAAATGACAAACCTAACGACATTCTCTGTTTAGAATACAGTGCCTTTGAAAAGAAATCAAAGTGCATGTGCACTTAGTATTTTATTTCACGTGTTCAAAATAACGAGAAATTTGTGGCATCTGTCGTCCATCAAAGCAGATCACGTGTCAGCGCACGACCTAGTGGTTAATTAGATCCTATATTTGGCATCATTTCTTAATTTTGAACAAAAAGCTGTTCGGATCCTGTTCGCGTTGATCAATATCAATTTAAGTTAATTTAGCACAACATCTCCAAACCCAAGAAACGTTTGTTTGGGGCTTTTCGGGGATGTTTATAACTTGCATTACAGAAAATATTACTATAAATCTGTCAAATGTGTAAAGCTGTTCGATGAATATATATTTGTGTTTAGTTTTTCTTTCTATCAGCTCGAAATAATCGACTGGCGAAGCCAAATCCACTTGGATAATTTGACAAACTTGCTATCAAAGTTATATATTTAAGAAAATCCGCGAGTAAATACATGTATATATACTGACGGGCAAAAGATTGTATATACACTTGAAATTGGATTTGACCAAATAAATTACAAACGTTATCAAAACGTTGCTTAGGCTGACCTGGTGTGTCATTGAAAAGATGCTAGAATATAAAACAATATTTTTTGTTTGTTTCATTTTAAGCCACCATCAAACATGGGTGTGTACTTTTATTGCCCTGCAGTTTATATAGTAACATGTTAATGTGTTAGTATGCATGAATTACACCCCGTAGGTTAAGTGCAAATGGTCACGCCATTCCCACCTTTCCTGTTTCAAATGGCTACGTCTAACAGCACCATATTTAACTAAGACAAAATTGTTATGGATGAGC